CAGCATAAACATGGATCATTCTCATAAATGTTTTATTGAGATGGGAAAGTAGGCACAGAGGCCAGCAGTTACTGATGTCTCCTTGGTCACTATTTTTGGTTATAATATGATCTTTTCCATTCCTATGGACTCTACCCCTCTTTGCAATATGTCAAAATTTTAGAATCGTGTCACCTTCAAAATAGATTTCCTCTGTATGCATATAGTTAGGTTAACCTGCTTTTCTGAACTCATTTTCTTGGATACCATTTCCATTTCTTCATATGGCACATCAGGTACCGAGATAGTGGAGTCCAAATGCCATAGTTTCACTGCAGGCAATTTGGGACTAGATAACTGTAGACACACTAGTAGATCAGCTCCATTTTGTATTTGCTTGTTGTCTTCCATTTGCTATAAGTGCTGTTTGGCTTAGTTGAATCTCATGCCCAAACTCTCTCAGAGTCAACAAACTTTAGATCAGCAAGTTAGCAAGTTAGGCTTTAATTACTAGGAAAATTCTAGAGCAAAACACTAAAGAGATAGTCAGGAAGTATCTAGAAAAGGAAGCAGTTACAAAGAACCTGAAGGGATTCATCAAGAACAGACTAGCCTTATTTCCTTTTTTTATGACATTATTAAACTAGGAGATCAGGGAAATGCCATGGATGTGGTTTACTTAGATTTTAACAGAGTTATTTATTTCAGTTAACAAAAATCTATTTTCCTTTCCCTTTCCTTCCCACCTTGAAAAAAAATTCAAATATTTATTTTACAGGTACTTGTCAGAGCTTGTAACAAAGTAACCTATGCCATTCTTGTGGAAAAGATGGCAAGATGGCCACTGGATAATGTAGTTGTCATTGGTGTTCATCCTTCCCTCTTTTTTTTTTTTTCTGTGAGGCAGTTGGGGTTAAGTGACTTGCCTAGGGTCACACAGCTAGTAAGTGTCAAGTGTCTGGTCTGAGACCAGATTTGAACTCAGGTCCTCCTGACTCCAAAGCCAGAGCTCTATCCACTGCGTCACCTAGCTGCCCCATCATCCTTCATTCTTAAAGAGGACCAATGACATCATAAGGATGATGTCTTGACTTGCAAGTGAATTGGATTTAAATGAGGCAGAGCTGCGCAAAGTTATCAGCTTCACTCTGTCCTCCAGAGTCACTGGAGTCCAGTGGCAAGATAAGAGTCAAGACAACTAGTGATGGCCCTGCGTAATACAATTAGATAAATTCAGAAATAGCTAAATGACTGGGCATAAAGAATGGTTGTTAATGGCTTGTTGTTGACTTGGTACTGGAGCTTCCAGGGGAGTGCCCAAGGGATGCCTACTGTGCATAGCCCTGGACACTTTTATTCAAGACTTGGATAAAAGGCGTGGATGGTATGCTCAGCAAATTTGAAGATTACATAAAGGACAGGTGACAAATTGGGTAACAAAACCACTATTAAAAACAAAACAAAACAGGGGCAGCTAGATGGCGCAGTGGATAGAGCACCAGCCCTGGAGTCAGGAAGACCTGAGTTCAAATCCAGCCTCAGACACTTGACACTTACTAGCTGTGTGACCCTGGGCAAGTCACTTAACCCCAGTGCCTAGCCAAAAAAAAAAAAGCTCATACAAAAAAAAAACCTTGACAGACTAGAAAATGAGCTGAATCTAAGATGAAATTCAATAGGGGAACGTATAAAATCTTACATTTAGGTTCAAAAAATCAGTCTCACAAACAAAGTATGAGAGAGACGTGATCAGACAGCACTTTGCCTGGAAAGGGTTTGGGGTGAACCGCAAACTTGTTATGAGTCAGTATTTTTAGGCATCAGCTAAAAAAAGTTAGTGTGATCATGGGTTTCATAGCTTCCAGTAATAGAGGAGTAATAGTCTCCCTATATTCTGCCTGAATCAAACCACATCTGAAATACTGTATTAAGTTCTGGGTGTGATAGTTTAGCAAGGACATTGATATATAGGAGAATGTGAATAGAAGGGTTATCAAAAAAATAATAAGTAACATCTATCTAGCACTTTAAGGTTTGTAAAATGCTTTTATACATATATTATCTCATTTGATCCTCACTACAACCATGGGAGCTAAGTGCCATTATTATCCCAATTTTATAGATGAGGAAACTGATGTTAAGTGACTTGCCCAGGGATCATGGCTAGTAAGTGTCTGAGCAGGATCGGAACTCAGGTCTTCCAGATTCCAAGTCCAGTACTCTATTCTCCATGTCACCTAGCTGCCCAGCTATGCACCAAGCAGCCAGGATGATGAATGGTCTTCTGTCCATGTCATGAAGATCAGGTAAAGGAAAGGGGGGTACTTGGCCTGGAGAAGAGCAGATGTTAGGGACGTGATAGCAGTGTTCAAATATTTGAAGGGCTGTCATGGAGAAGAGATAAATGTCAGACTTGCTCTGATCGGTCCCAGGGGGTAGAATCAGAAGTAATGGATGGAAATTAGAAAGACGGAAATTTAAATTTGATGTCAGAAAAGACATCAAAAGAAAGTTCTAACAATTACAATCATCCGGAATTGGAAAGGTGTCCTGAAAGAGACAGTAGGGTCCTCCTAATTTGAGATTTCCAAGTAGAGATTAGGATGTTGAAGTAGGGATTCCTTTTGGATATGGTTTAGATTATCAATCAATCAAAAAACATTTATCAAGCACTTACAATATGCCAGGCACTGTGCTAAATAATTTGGATATGATCTGGCTGCTGAGGTCCCTTCCAACTCAAAAGTCTGTGATTCTGTGACCAGATAAACTTTAAGGTCCTTTCCAGTTCTAAATTGATGGTCCTATGACCTATGCCCTTTTCTAAAGTCTTTTTAACATATTCTCCCAAAACCTAGAGTCAGCATCAGACCATGCCTGACTTCCCCCATGTTGTGATAGAGAATTCTTTGTTCCCAACTCGCATTTTCTCTGATTTATCCCAGGCCTCACCTTCAGGTTACACCTAAGGACGCCTACCTGTTTCCTTTCTCTTCTCAGGGCTTAATGCTTTCCACCTCTTCTTTCACTGCCTAATTTCTGCCTCTCTAGTTTTCCCCCTTTCCTTAACTGTCATGCATACCTGAGGCCACAAGAGGGTAGCATTGTCCAGGATACTTTTCACTGGAGACCAGTTCTATCTCCTCCTAACAGTCAAGTGGGCACATGACAAGTTTCCCAACTCTCATTGAGCACTGTCCAATTTTCATGAGGTACTAGTTACTTGAAAAAATAAATAAACGTATGTCCATTCCCTATCTGGTGCACAGGGAACTTAATCTTTATTACACTAAGAACTCTCCCTAGTTGGACCCCAGCAATAAGAGACCCAAGTGTTTTGGGAATGAGTGGCTCCTAAGGTTCAGAGGGTAGATAGAAGAAGATTAAGTAGGGGGCAGGGAGGAAGATCAGGGCTCAATGTGGCCTGAAAAGGCCTTGAGAAAACAGCTTTGATTTCCCAAGAGCAGAAACAGAACCCACCAGCTTGAGTTTTGGTGGGGAGCAATGGTATAAATCTCGAAGATTAAGGATGGAAGATAGCCCTGGTGGAGAGAGGATAGCTCTCACAGCTGGTGTTGAAAGTATCATAGGATTTATGAGATGAGAGGACCCTTAGAGATCTACTCTAAACCTCATGTTTTACTAAAAAGAAAACTGTGGTCCAGAGAGGTTAAGTAATTTGGCTAAAGTCACACAGTCAGTAAGTGGAAAAGCCTGGATTCAGACTTCTAAGAATCATTTATGTGTGGTTCTTAACTCTAGGTCCATGGATCGATTTCAGTGGGTAGATGAAATTGGATGGGAAAAATTCACATCTTTAATATAATTGGTATCCTTTGTAATCCTATGTACTTCATTTCATGTATTTAAAAACATTTTTCTGGGGCAGCTAAGTGGTGCAGTGAATAGAGCTCTGGCCTTGGAGTTAGGAGGACCTGAGTTCAAATCTAGCCTTAGACACTTAACACTTGCTAGCTGTGTGACCCTGGGCAAGTCACTTAACCCCGATTGCCTCGCCAAAAAGCCAAAAAACAAACATTTTTCTGAGAAGGGGTCCACAGGCTTTACCAGACAGCCAAAGGGGGTCTACGACATAAAAAAAGGTTAAGAATCCCTGATCAATATATTCAGCCATTCATAAAGACCACTGTGGTTGCCCTCCAAAGGGCCAAGTCATCCTCTGCCTCCTCTCTGCCACATTCTCTAAACAGATGACATCTTTGGGACAAGGGAGCCCACCAAGATCTACCACCCTAGTCAGAACACAAATATTTTTAGGAGAGGACAAATGAATCCAGGCCACTTGTTTGTGCCATGCTTTCTGGGGCTGTGCTACTCAAGCACAGCTTCCAGCCCTGAACCCCTCCTCACCCCTTGGAACTACCCATGCCTGAACAATGCTTTACTCCCCCTCTCCCCCTTGTCCTGGCCACTCCTAGGGAATAGGTCTGACTTGGAGTCTCTGAACAATGTGAATCATCAGAGATTACCCCTACTTCACTCCAACCTGACACTCCCTCTCCCAAGTATATGCCAGTAATAAAACAGGAAGACTGGGAGGGGGAGAGGAAAAAGCGAAAACAAGAGGTTAAGGCCCCAGGGACCTGAGAAGGGTTTCAGACACCACTGAGTCCCAAAGGCCCCAGTGGGAAGTGGCAATTCCTCATTTTCCCTCCCCATAGCTTTGGTCTCCTCAACTGGAATATTTCCCATTTTACTCTATGCCGATCCTTCATCTTCTGCCTTATTCTCAGGGCCAGTGCCCTGACCTGGTCACATGTAGTTTAAGATGTGTATGCTGGGAGGGGAATACTACACAGAAGAGTATTCCCATCATCCTGGGAACTCCTGTGACCCTCGCACATGACTGAAAGCACTCTTGGATGTGTGTGTGTAGGGGGGGAGTGTAAGGCCCCGGTTGCAGTTTTGGAACCTTCAGCCAAGTAGTTGGTTCCCTGAATCAGGGCTCTGATTCTCCCCTCCTCCTCCCCACAAAACCCCTGCTTACACAAAGTCAGATGTACAGACTGGAACAAGCCTGACTTTAATTAAGATTTCCAAACAGGGGTGCTGAGCCCTCAGTGTGCATAAGGGTGGAGGTATTTAAATCATTGCCATTGGGTCCATGCATGTGTTTGCACATGTATATACCGCCTGAAGTTCCCTGTCTGCCCCAGAGGAAGCCAGCTCATGATTACATTAGAGCCCCTAACCTTTCTCCTCCTAATAAATAGAAGGGGAGGATGGTGGAGGGGATCTTTGGGAATGAAGCAGATTGACAATGATGGGAAAAATGAGGTGACTAGAGAACAACGTGTGGGGTAGAATATGGTACACAAAAGGACAGAGAAAGACTCGGGGCATGTGAGATACAGAGGGTATGAGACACATGGGGAGTAGGGTGATAAGAAACATGGAGCAGTCATGGGTCACTTCCTTGCCCATATCCAACAGCCACCTTGGCCTCCAGGGTCAGGGGCTGAAAATGACCCTTCCTTGAGCCAGAGGCAGAAAGAGAGGGACAGGGCAAGGGCCTGGGGGTGGGCCTTCCTCCAAAACAAGAAGAATCCCCTCAGAGGAAGTATGCCAGCAGCAGGACCAGGGCTGTAACCAGAGTAAGTACAAGGAAGATGATGGAGGCAACCCAGGGTCCCTCCTTCTGGGTACGAACACACTCTGGTGCCTCAACCGGAATGATGTTGGTTAGGTTCAGCGTGTATCCAAGGGTCCAGCCGATGTCTGCCCCTGAAGCCTGGCCAAGGGACAGAGAGGAGTTAGAGCAGAGGCTGTGCCTAAGAAGCCCTATGCTATCAGAGAAGGCAAACACATGCTTCTGTCATCCTGAGCCCTAAAACCTTTGTAGGGTTCAGAGGTATGATATTAACACTAAGAGAATTCTCATTGCCACTTAACTCTGGGGCCAAGGCTTGGCAGAGACTTGGAGTGGTTTGCCATTTCCTTCTCCAGATCATTTTTTAAAAAACAGATAAGGAACTGAGGCAAACAGGGTTAAGTAACTTGCCCAGGATCACAAAGCTACCAAGAGTTTGAGATCGGATTTGAACTTACAAATATGAGTCTTCCTAACTGCTGGCCCAGCACTCTATGCACTGCACCACCTAGATGCCCCACATTGATATAGTACTTTATAAAACTTATTTCTCTGTTCCCTTCAATAACCTGATGAGGTTGGTTGTACAAGTATGGCTAGCCCCATTTTACAGATGAGGAAAATGAGGCTCAGAGAGGTCAAATGATGACTAGTTCAAGATCATAACAGTTAGCTAGAGGAAGACCCAGGCCTCAAATCCAGGTTCTATGACTCCAAATCCAACATCCTTTTCACTACAGAATGGGGGTACATCTTGAGGGAGAACACTTAGGAAATGAGCCAAATTGGAGGCACTTCAAAATTCTAAAGACTCCCAGAAATCATCTGGTCCATCCCCCTGTCTAAACTAGGCTGAATTAAAGAGGCATTCTCTCACTTAAAGAAAGCTCTGGGATTTGGAATTAAAGTACTTTGGCTCAAATCCTGATTCTGTGATTTATGACCTCTGTGGACAAGTCACATCTCATATGTGAGCTTTCATTTCCTCATCAGATGAGGACAGTGGTACCTTCCAGATCTAAATATACAACTTCTGGACTCAGGGAATCCTTGGCTCCTCCCTGTTAACCAGAAAGTCTCACTTCCCTTCTCCATCTCTGAGGATCAGAGGCCCATGCCCTCCCACTTGACAGCTGTTCCTATGTTTCTTGTTTTTTTGTGGTGGTCTTGGCCTCCTAGTAAAAAATCCTTATGCAAAACTTTGACTTTGTCTCTGCTAAGCCCAAAGTAAAGGGTTGTTTGCACATTTTAGTTGAGGTCATGAAGGGACAGCCAGAGACCTGGGAGGAGAAGATAGGGAAGGCAAGGGGAGACAAGAAGATTTCGCAGGGTTTGATTTCAGACACCAGAGCCCTTTTCATTCACATGGGATTCCCTAGACTCCTCCTGAAGGCCCTTCTCTTCAGGAAGAATGTGTGGGTTTCCCTCCTATTGCCTCACAAAGCCTGGGCTTCCTCTGGCCCCAGCTTCCTGCTTAACATTCCTTTGTCTTAGACCAATGCCAGTCAACTAGATATGGCCAGGAAGGGGCCAGAAGGGGAAGAAATGAAGGAGGGGCAGTGGTACTAGGTGAATTTTCCATACTCTCAGCCCAAAAATAACTCATCACAAAACCGCAGTTCTTATGGAATCAATGGTCTTCTTCATGCTGCTCATTCTCAGATTTGCTTATCACCTCGATGCTGTTCGCTAGACTTGTATCTCTAACTGCCCATTGGACATTTTCCCATAGACATATAAACTCAATGTGTCCAAAACTGAACTCATTGTCTTTCCCCCAAAACTCTCCCTTCTTCCTAACTTCCCTATTACCACTGAGGATACGGGCATTCTCCCTGTCACCCAACCTATGTGTCATCCTTGACTTTTTACTCTCTCTCCCTCCCCACTAGCCAATCTGTTGCCAAGGCCTGCTGATTTACCTTAGTAACATCTCTCACTTACATACCCTTTTCTTTCTCTGCCACCACCTTGGTACAAGGCCTCATAATCTCAGGAATGGCCTATTGCAATAGCCTGCTGATTAGTCTGCCTTACCACAAGCCTTTCCCAACCTCAGGTCATCCTCTGCTCAGCTGTCAAAGGGATCTTTCTAAAATGCCCTACTCCATCAACCCTGGTGGCTCCAGATGCTTTCGGCAGCAAATATAAAATCCTTTGTTTAACATTCAAAGCCCTTCCTAACCTGCTCTCCCTCACTTGTCCAGCCTTCTTACACCTTATACTCTATGTCTCCGATGTACTCTCCATCCCCATGACAATGACCTTCTTGCTGTTTCTTTCTCTCTCCCCTCTATTTTTTTTTTTTTTGCTTTTTGGTGAAGCAGTCAGGGTTAAGTGACTTGCCCAGGGCCACACAGCTAGGAAGTGTCAAGTGTCTGAGGCTGGATTTGGACTCGGGTCCTCCTGACTCCAGGGCCAATCCACTGTGCCACCTAGCTGCCTCCTTCTTGCTGTTTTTCAAACAAGACTGGCAGTTTCCTGAATCTGGGCATTTTCACTGGCTGTCTGTCCCCCATGTCTGGAATGCTCTCTCTCTTCAAAGCTGCCTCCTGGCTTCCTTAAATTCTCAGCCAAAATCTCACCCTCTACTGGAAGTCTTTCCCAATCCCCATTAATGCTAGTGCCTTCCCTCTGTTGATTTTTTCCAATAGATTAATTGGACATACAAACCGGATAATGTACGTAGCTTGTTTGTACGTAGCTGTTCACAAGTTGTCTACCCTTTCAGACAGTGAACTCCTTGAGATGAGGGACATCTTTTGCTTTTTGCACTCTCAATGCTTAGCACAGTGCTGGCACATAGTGGGAGCTTAACAAACGTCTATTGCCTGACCGATTGTTTTCAGATCGCACAGAAGTCCAACTATTAGAAGAAAACGTAAATAGTCTAATGTGGCTTTTGGTGAGTAGGCGAGAGGATTAAGGTCAGGGTTCAAACCAATCCTTCTGTGAAAAAAAGAAAGTGCATTTCATCAAACATGTTGTTATCTCCCTGTTTGCTCCCCTGGGTAAGGAATTTAAAAGAGTCCAGTCAGAGAACAGAAGAGAGCTCAGGGTTCCAGCCCGTCCCTGCCCCATATTGTGGGAGATCATGCTTACCACTGTCTCTCCCCACCTCCCTCATCCCAGAAAGCCACACTCACTTTCTGTTGGAACCTGATGGAGGTCCAGCTCTTGTCAGAGAACTTGTAGCCTTCCAGGAGGAGTACAAGGATATAGTTGGCATTAGCACAGTAATCTCGAAGCCAGTACAAGTTGTGTTTGGGGTAACTTTCAGTCACTTAAAATGAATGGACAGGGCTTTTTGCCTCTCCCTTCCAGCAACAAGCAAGCCCAAGGCTTAGACTGGCCTCATCTTCCCCTGCTCTGCCCAGCTCTGCCCTCGATGCCTGATTCTCCATTTTAAATGGAGAATGTTAAATAGAGCAAAGCCAATTCTTGGCTGATAGAAAGAATACAGACTGACATACAAATTGGGTGCCCTGATGCTAATGGCTCTGCCCTGCCTAAGGACTGTTCAGATTTCAAATCTGGGCATTCAAGACTGTCCATGATTAGAGCCCACTCCACCTTCCCCAGGAATGAGGGACTTTAATTCATCTAATAGCTAACAAGAACTCCCCAGATATCTGAGCCTGACCTGAATTGTGGCCTCTGACCACTGTGGTTCAGCATCACACCTGGCCTCAGTACTCACCCTGAAGCCCCCCTCCACACACACAAATCGGCAGGATTCCCTGTGAAGCCCCATGGAACCTGGATCCCACCCTCATTCACTCCTTGAGCTCACATTTGTCCAACTCCAGCCACAGTACTGCTCAATGGTATCCATGACCTTAAATAGAGACTGGCCTGAGGTGATGTTGAGGAAGTTGAAGGTATAGAAGAAGGCAGAGAAAGCCTATGGGACAAAATCAGAGGAGGTCAGAAACTGCCCAGATGGAAAGAGCCAGCAGGGGCAGCCCTATGATATATCCCTACTCTCCTTGGGGATTCTCCTGATATAACATTAGTGGCTCCCTATTGCCCACTGAGCCAAATTCAAATTCCTGTCTCGGCAATCAAGGCCCTCAATGCCCAACCTTTACAGCCTTCTCTCAAATGCTCTCTTTCTCATGCTCCTACCCTCCATTGACATCTCCAGCCTTCAGCGTGGCCTATGTCGTCCTGCCTTTGTGAGCAAGGATTCATACTGTCCCCACTACCTGGTATGTCCTCTCTCTGCCACCAGCATCTCTTTCACCTGCTTACCTTCCTACCCAATCACTGAAAGTGCTTAGCACAGTACCTGGCACACAGCAACTAAGGAATAAATGTTTGTTGACTGACTGACTGACCTCATGTAGTTCTTTGCTTTGTAACATTCTTATGCATTTATCATATAATATCAACAATAATATAATAAAATAATTATGTTACCTTATAATATTAACAACAATACATTTGTGTAGTACTTTATAGTGTGTTTTCCTCCCACAGGTGATGGGTATTGGAAAAAAAAATTTGGACTGAACCTGCAATTTCATTGATACTCCCAGTGAGGAAAGTTCCTCTAACAGTGCAGGTTAGCACCACCTCCACCTGAGGCATCTAGAGGTCATGACTTATCCAGGGTCACCGGGCCAGTATGTAACAAAGGAAAGACTTGAACCCACGTCTTTCAGACTCCTAGGCAGCTCTCTGTTCATTATACTATGCTGCCTCTTGGTAGAAATACTGTTCTAATTTTACCAAAGAGGAGGCTAAGGTTTGGAAAGTCAGTTGATGTGCTCAGGATCACACTTCAGTTGTGCGCCTGAGGGAGGATTGGAACCTAGGTCTCCAAGCCAGCATTCCATTCGTTGCACCACGCGGCTTCTTGGTATGTTACTGTCATTTATGTGCATGGCTTGTCTCCCTCCCAGGGTCTGCAAGCTCCACAGAAGCAGGAACTGTGCCTAAAACTTTCTCTTTCCCCCATTATGTAGTACATGACTCTGCACAGGGCAGATGCGCCATAAATGTCTGATGAACTGCCCCAGCCTGAGAGGTAACACAGGAACGGCAGCCTTGGTTGGTTATCCTGAGATCCCACCCAGCCAACATCCTTCCACTGCCCCCAGCTCACCACCCCCAGCCCCCCAAGGACCCGGGCTTACAAAGAACTGGCCACTCGTGTCAGGCTGGTAGGTGCCATTGAAGGCGCAGGGACGATGGGGGCCACAGGCAGTAAAATTGAAGATGGCTCTGATGGCTTGCTGGTACTTGGTGACATTGCCCGTGCCCACCAGTGTCATCTCTTGGTTCAGGTTGAAACCATGTGGCTGCAGGTAGGCTGTGCAGGGGCTGTCATAGATAGACTGTGCCATCACTTTATTCTTAAAGCCCTTGTGGTAACAGGGATGCTCGACCTGGCCAGGGGTAGCCTGGGACTCCTTGAGGACATGGTGAATAATAAGAGTGTAGCCCTACCAGGCCTCAGGCTGGGCAGGGGAGTACCCAAAGATTTCAGCTCAGTCCCCTCATCTCTCTCCATCTCTTTAAAGGAAGCAAACTCCATCCTTAAGAGCACACACTTCATAGGCATGATCACTGATGGCTCCTCAGTGGCTGAATGCCACGTCCTGGCTCCAACCTTCCTCAGTAGGCTTCTTCCACTGACGCTTAACCAGAATCTCACATCCCCATTTGTTTCTAGGCCCTATTTCTGTTTTTACTTTGGCCCTACTCTTCAAAGTCCAGCTAAATCCTCACTTCCTCCAGGAAACTTGCCCACCTCTCACCTCCAACTCAAAATGACCCCTCTACCTGCATCCGAGCCCAACATTCTGACCCATGTTGTTCACTGGTTTCTTCCTGTAGGTATTATGTTCCCCGCCTCTCCCTACCCCAGACTCTCAGATACCCAAGTGAAGGGCCTAGATATACTTTTGTCTATCTCATAGAATAATAATTTAGGGCTCGAAGGGGCCTTAGAGACCAACAAATCTGACCCCCCGACTTCATGAATAAAGGAACTGAGGCCTAGAAAAGTCACACAGCTAGTAAGAGCAGTAGTACGTTCTGAATTGCGATCCTCTGATTCTAAATCTGTTACACCCCACTGTTTCCCTGAGACTTTCAGGTCCCCAAGAGTCAAGCCTGGATCTGCTCCTTTTCTGTCTTGCCCTTATCGTTCAGTTGTGTGTGACTCTTCGCAACCCCATTTGGGGTTTTCTTGGCAAAGACATTGAAGTGGTTTGTCATTTCCTTCTCCAGATCATTTTACAGATGAGGAAACTGAGGCAAATAGGGTTAAGTGACTTGCCCAGGATCACAAAGCTAGTGAGTGTCTGGGGCCAGGGTTGAACTCAGGAAGATAAGTCTTCCTGACTCCAGGCTCAGCACTCTATGCTCTATGGTGCCACCTAGCTGCCCCAGTTTTCCCCTAGAGTGGGGATATGTTGTATTCTTCAGTCTGGGTGGGCTCTTCCTCTGTCTTCCCTAGAAATGTGAGATGCCCAAGGGCAGGGACTGTATTCTACATTGTTCTTGTGTAAGAACCCAGAAGAGTCATTATAAATATTTGTTGATGTCGAATTGATCTCCCTGAAGCAGGGCAGTGTTGCCCAGGATTATCAAGAAGGGCCCTCCTTTGGTACTTCAGGGATTTGGGGTTGGGGGGAGATAGAAGAAAGATCAGAGCTTTGCAAAATTTGTCTTAGGACCTTTCTTGTCACCAGGTCACCAGCCTGAAAAACGTTCTCCCCACCCCCTGTTAATAAATCCTACGATGCCCCTGCCTGTATCCCCTGCCCCCCCCGTTATGTGTGTATCTATAGTGACCCCCATTATGTTCCTCTGCCGCCAGTGCCCCACCCTGTGCCCCATCAACCCCTTCTACTCCATGCCCCAAATCCCCTAGGGGGCTCACCTGGCTCAACTTCAGGATCACCTGCTTCTGCGCCTGGGCCTGCCCATAGCACAGGTAGCTATGTGTATAGATGGTGTAGCTGAAGCCATACAGATGGAAATGGGAGGCAGTGCTTGGGTCTGCAATGGATCCGCTGGGGAGGAAGCTGATCTGGGTTGAAGCTCCTCCCAGGTCCAGGGCCCCAAGCACCTTGGTTGCTGGAGGGCGGATCCAGCCTCCATTCTTGACTGAATACTGTCCATACAGAGGCAATGTTAGAACAAGCCCTATGAGAGGGTATGGGGTTTTGGGAAGCCAGTATCTCCAAAGGGAGGGGGGGGTAGAGGGTGTTATTAGATGGAACACAAGAAAAGCCAGGGCCAGGATGACAGGCAGGGGGAGCAGGACCTTCAGAGAGACTCAAGGGTTGGGAATAACCTTGGTGAATGTATCTAAGAGGTAATTGATGGTGATCCAACCATAGGCTCCCTCCTCAGCACCAGAGATGATCCAAGCCCCTCGGAAGTCCATGGGGTACTCCTGGATGGTCTTGCCCACCTCACCCAGGACCCCATCAGCAGCTTTTGGGTCCTGCAGACTAAAAGAAAGTTCAAAAGTTAGTCCCCTAATACTCCTGCTAATACTCAGGATCTGTCAGGTATGGGGCCAGAAAGGTAAAAGGAGAAAAAAGGTTACCATGGAGAGAGGGAGAGATGGGTTATGTGGTAGAGAAAATATCTGTCTTGGGCCCTAGGCTCAGAGTAGTAAGGATGGGAATTCTCAGGACAGGAGGTATCGGGAAGGGTTCTCAGAGATCCTTCGGTTCAGTTCACCTATTTATCTAATGCCACTCAAAGAAGTAGCAGAGTTGAGATGTGAGTCTGGGGAAGCAGAAAAGTAGGATTAGCATAGGTTGGGGTGGTGGTGGTAGAAGTGGCCCAATGGGAGGTCCTAGTAATTGGGATTCCAGGGAGGAGATAGGAGAGTTGGAAGGGACCTAAGAGGCTATCTATTCCAACCCTCTCATTTGACATATGAGGAAACTGAGGCCTAGGAAGATTAGGTGACCTGTCCAAGGTAATCCATATAGTTTTAGTGGCAGAATTTGAACGTGGTCCTCCTCTACCTCCAGAGTCAGCACTCTTTCCACTGGACTACCAAGATTCTCAAGCCCGTTCCCTCTTTCTGCCTAAGGGGTAGGTTTACGAGGGAGTGCAGGAAGGATGCGGTTAGGGGTACTGGGGAGTAGATAGACAGCCCTGGAAGGAGATAGTACCTGAGGATTCTCATTCCCGCTGTCGCGCCCAAGTACACGGGTGTCTGAGCCAGTTGTGCGGCTGGGATTAGCTTCACTGCTTTATCTAAACATGGCCGCAGGGACATTCCCGCAGCTTCAGGGTTGCGAGCATAGCTGGAGATGCCATCGCCTGCAGGTGGAGTTATGTGGGCGCCGGGGCAGGTGTGAGCCAGTTCAAGTGGGGTGGGGAGTGAGTGGGAGCAGGGGCAACGAAGGAAGAGAGAGGCTGGGGGACGCGGAAGGATACCCTGGGGCAGAGTGAGGTGGAAGACGATGGGGAGAGCAGAGAAGGTAGGGCTGGGCGCAATGGGGTCCCAAATACACACTGCCTCTCCCGCCCTCGCACAGACCCTGCACATCACAAGCCATAGTCTGGCTGACCACGCCTGTGTCATTCTCTTTGTCCCCAGGCCACTGGTACACGAAGAGGGATGTGTGCGAGGAGCCAGCATCAAACACGAGACCGAACTGAGGGATGAGTCGGAGAGGAGAGAGGGTTTGGGAAGGTCCCAATGCAAAGTTTGAGGATGAGGGTCAGAGATATGGGAGAGTAATAAGGAGGGAGGGTTAAGAAGGGAAAATTTGGGGAGCGGCAATGCAGAAAGATTGGGGTTTAGGGAAAGTGAGATTTGAGGGGCTCAGGAAAAGTGAGGAGGCTGGTGGAGCTGAAGGTTAGGGAGAAAGGGGCTTGCTGATGCAGGAAGATTGGGAAACGGGAGGCAGGGAAGAAGGACATCAGAATATAGAGTTTAGGGGCTCAGGAAGGGAAATTTTGGTCTCAGAGGAAATTTAGGTAGTGAAGAGAAAGGGGAGAAGTTTAGGGGTTCAAGGAAGGAGATTTTTGATGTTAAATTTGAGTGGTTAAGGGGTAGAAAGGGAGGGGTTTAGGAGTCTTGGGGAAAGGAGGATATGCTAAGGGCTATCGGATGCAATCACCTTGGTTCCTGGGGGAAGGGTGGTGTTAGTGGCCAGGAGGGTCAGCACCAGAGTAATAGCTGTGCAGTCAGGACCAGTGTAATGGGGAGCACCCAGCCCTTCATATCCAGCCCCATTGGTTCAGCAGCTGCAGATTCTGGAGCTGTAGGGAGGAGCCAGTGAGCCCAGACTCTCCCCCAGCCTGGAATCCCCAGCCTGAACCATTCTATACAGACCCTCATCTTCTCAGTGACCAATTCTTCCTTCTTTAGCTCCCACTCCAGAAATATCTCATCTTGTAGCCTCAGCGTCTTCCTCACCTCTATACCAGGCAAACGTTGCAGGTGAATGAGGGAGGCCTTTGTCTCAGGGATGCCCCAAGGCCTGATTGCTCCTTCCCATAACCAGCACTGCCCCCTGCCCCGAAGTTATTAGCACAGGATGCGATATGACAAACATTTACATCACATATAACACAGGTATTCCCAAAGTCAGGGGAGAAGGCTTTACCCTAAATGATAATCTCTGGTCTGGGTATAGGCTGCCTGACAGTTGTAGCGTCACACAAAGCAAAGAAATCTGCCTACCTGGGCCTTTCATCTCACTCTATTCAACTCACAGACATAATCACTGTCAGCATCTATGGTGGGCCCAGGGTGCAGGAGTTCTGGGAGAATGACTCCCATTCCACAAACAAATTCAACAGCAATTCAATTCAATTCAACAAGCATTTATTAAATACCTATTTGTGCCCAGAAGCCTTTGCTGGGTATGATCCTACCTGGGCAGAGAGGGGAAGAATGCCAGAGCTCAGGGAGGGGGGCCTGGCCTTGGTCTTAGTCGACAGAACTGGAAAAAACCAGAGGTGAAGCATATTCAACTTCCTGCCTCTTTCTGAGGCTTCTTGGTGAGAGTTAGGGTATGGCATGAGACACTCAACCCAATGTCGCAGGCCAGAGCCCAGGGGAGGAACTCTCCCACACCACCCATCCTGTCCATAAGCCACTCCTTGGCTAAAACCATAGTCCTACGCCTAGAGCTTTGGGAGGGGGAGGAAAGTTGAGAAGATGGATGGAGGGTTGGGGGGCAGGGAGGAGGACTCCATTCCCAGCTCCATGGGTGGCATGGTTAGTTCTTCCCAATGACCTCAGTAAAAAACATTTTATTTTCTTATGGGAAGTTTCTTTTTGAGCTAGAAAAGAAGTAATCATTAAAGGAAATGCACCCAGTGTTCCCTCTCAGTACAAGGAGTACAGCTTTTTTCCCCTTACATAGGATGATTGCTAAGGACTCAAGCCTGAGAATCTTGGCCAAAAATAGGAGAAATCAGGCTGTGGCCTTTGGACTACAAGTCCCTGAAGCCAGACCCTATCTATAATGTAGCTAGAAAAGGGATCAGACAGGTGATTTCATTGGTACAGGGAACTCCCAGGTGGTTGGCACGTTCTCTACAACTTATAATTTAGACAGTCGCCTAGCTCAGTGAGAGGTCATGGCTCACACAAGGACGGATACAAAGGTAGGAAGCATCCACGGCAGACTGGATCCCAGGTCTTCCTAGCTTCAAAGTCAGCCTTCTATTGACTATGTTGTGAAGCATGCTCAAATATATGAAAGATAAAAAGGAAGTTTGGGCCTGGTTCCTCTACTGTGATGGATGGAGTTAACCATTAAATTTGACCTAAAGGCCCAGACAGGATCTGAAGGGGATATTTGAATCTGAAAAGCCTGGAGAATACACTTCTCTCACTCATTTCTGCATGCCCCATTGGAGCCCAGCCAGCAATACCCCTGCAGTCCACATGTGGCAGAAAAGGGGCATACCCTCTATGCCAAGCTGTCTAATTCTCAATCTCTAGCAGTGCCCTGAACTGGCCATGTCCCACCCTCCTTCCATTTCAATGCAGAGTTTTCACTAGGGCTTAAATGCCAACTAGCACCCACCATTGATGCAGGCCAATGTAACTCTAATCAGACTGCAGGAGGCCAAGCACAAATAGTCTTTAGGGCTACACTGCCTGATCTTACCTGAAGCCTAGTTTCACTTAGTCTCATGTGTCTAGTTGTGAGAACAGTATTAGACAGATGACTTTGGGAACTTCTCAATCAATTTAGGCCTAGAAGTAGATGGACCACCATCCTATTTCCCTTTCCATCTCTTAGCCCTCCCCCAGTCTGAAGGGAAGTTAATTTCATCATCCCCTTCCCCATTCCCCAACACTTGTTCTCTGGGTTTCTATTTGTGTCTGCTATGAATCCTCCCCTCTCCCACATCCTGAAGCAGAGCCTCAGGGACACAGGTGGGGTCCACAACCTGTCCAGCCTCCATTCAGCATCCGGGCAGACAGAATTAACAGTCTTCTGCCCTAACAATAAGAAGCATTCCTCCACCCTACTGCCCCAAAGACCTCTCAGAGACCATATGGAAGCACAAGCCTAAGATCCTCCACCCAAGGCCTGCAACAAATAAGAGAAGAATTATGGGGGGCTGGGGCTGGGCAGGGCTACTGCTCTAGGGTTGGATGAAGAAGAGAGGCTGGAAGATTTTCTTTATGTACCCAGGACACCACCTTGGATTCTTCATCTTTTCCCTCCCTCCCCCAGAGCTCCTACCCACGGACATATTCCTGAGCTACAGGCTTCTCCCCAACACAGCTCCTACCCATGTGCTGCTCAGCTCCTTCTGACTCTTCCTTCCCCCTCTCCAAGTTTAGCCCCTCCATAATCTCCTCTCCTGTTTGCCCCATCCTCTTTCCCCACCTCCCAGCCTCTCAACACTTCTTCCCTATGGGGGTGCATGACAGAGGCGCTTCCTCACTCTTGTCCCAGGTCCCATTGCTGAGACCATCAGCCACCATCCCACCCTTCACACCATGCCCTGAGGGAGGTAGATGGTATAGAATCAAAAGCCATAGGCTAGGAGTCAGTGCGCTTGGGTTCCAGTCCTGGCTCTGTGACTGACTCTCACGTTTCCTGTGTATTTCTTTAATTTCACTGGGAGACAACACAGTGCCTTTATCCAAGTTTACATTAATGGTATGTATATCCAAGAGTGCTGGATTTGTAATTAAAGGAGTTAAACATGAATCTTAGTTTTGCATTTACTCCCCTTTGGACCTCAGTTTCTCCTTTCACAAAAACCAGGGGGTGAGACTGGATGACTTCTTCCTCTCCTTCTAGCTCCTACATTTTATGAGTGGGGGCCAGAAGGGGAGGACCTGGGGTAGGCGACTCCTCTAGGCTTCGTTTCTCTCCCTCTCCCATTTAGTTTTCTTCTACAGAGGAAAGGGATAAAAGGGACTGAAGGGGCGAAGGGGCAGGGACTTCATTCCCAGACATAGAGCTGCAACCCTTCCTCTTCCCTCCTCACCCCAATTCAATCATTCCTCTAGGAATGGCTGTCTTCTTGAAAATAGGTCCCAAACGGCTCAAAGAGTGCTTACCTGAGGTCACTAACCATGAGCAGCTCTACCGCGGTTAGGATCCAGATCCTTTGAGTTTGGGGATAGGGCAACTGTAAAGACAGTAGGAATTTTATGCAGAAGAGGTGAAGGTTAGGACAGGTTCCTAATGGAGTAGAAAAGGAGGTGGAAGGGGGAAGAAAGGGCCTGAGGGCACGTGGAGATATTTGGGAGCCTGAAATCCTGGATTCTCCACATGCTGGCCCCGGCCCCGTTTTTATCCTTCTCTGTGCCTGGGAGAAGGGGCGCAGGGCGGGGGATAAATGACAAACTTCCATGCAAAGGCTCAGATCACGAGTGGCGAGTTCCCTGGCCTCCCCCTTCTCGAAACCAGAGTTCCTTGCCTTTCCCCTTCCCGCACCCAAGCTCTGGCTCCAGTGACCGGCTAAGTTCCAGACTCGGGCGCGTGCCCTGACGACTCCAGAAGCCGGAACCAGAGCAGAAGTCTCCCGGACCTGGATTCCTGGGTGTCGCCCAGAGTGGGTTGCAGGGTCCTTACGCTGGCCTGTGTACCCTCTCATCGTAACCCTACTCCGTCGACCCTGTATCCCTACCGGGGATACGAAGACTGAGGACAGCTCCAGAAGCCCTCAGGAAGTCAGTCTCTCCAGCAAAGCCGACAGTGGAAAGACCGAAGTTACGCGGTACGAGGGGACTCCAACAGCCTCAGAGTCCAGTTCCCTCAGCGCTAGCAGTCGCCCCGGGGTCACCCGTCGAAGGGGTCAGAGGTCACGGTACCTGTAGGGTTTGGGCTTGGATGGGCGCTGCTCGCTGTCCGGGAGGTCCCTGGGTGAGTGCTGGAGGCGTTTGGGCGATTTTCAATAGGCGGGTCCAGCGAGGGGCCCCCTCTCCCTTCTCCTCCTGAGCCTGAGCCCGCCCTTCCTGCCCCTCCTCCCTACCCCCACCCCCAGGTCTTCTGCCTGGCCCCTAAGCCAGCCTACGAGATCTAGTAACAGCGATTTTCATTCATGCAACAAATATTTATTAAGTGCCTACCGTGCGCAAAGCTCGAGATCTAGTGCTGGGGGAAATAAGATAAAATGTAGATATGATAAGGTCTCGGCTTCATGAAGCTCACCGTCTAGCAGAGAGACTGGACGCAAATAACCACAATGCACAGTAACGCAAGATAAGTGCATTAGAAGGGTGCAAAGCTAAGTGTTAAATGAGCACCTACGGGTGTAAGAGAAGGACTGAGAGGGACGGAACAAAGGCCCCTGCCCAGCCCGGACTCTCCAATTTGCTTTGGCCCGGAACCAGGAGAAGTTTTCTGGGGGGAGGGGCGAGAGGGGAGCTGCAAGTGTCCTGACTCCTCCCTCGTGCCTGGTCCTGGTTGAAGGAGCTAGCCCCCCCCCCCCACATCCTCCTTTCCTCTACCCCACCCCCAGTCCCCCGCGGATGGGCGAAGACGGGGAGGTGAAGCTGAATTGACTACCCCTGCTTGAACATGCGTGGGATTAGGGAGCGAGAAAGGGGGAGAGAAGAGGCTGCTCTTCTCTCCTTTACTCCCATCTGGGCCGACCTCAGGTGGGGACCACACTGGGATGATCCACAGATGATCAAAGCAACGAAACCTACGCTGCAAATAAGAGAAGCAACCATTGTTTCCGGTGGCTTTTTGTCTCTGGCCACAGCCTCCGAAGCTGCAGAACAGTTTGGGCCCAGAGCCTCAGACCCATCCCAGAGTTCAGAGCCCAGGAGAGGCAGCTTGTTCGTGCTGGTCTCGGAGTCAGGGAGACCTCTAGCTTGATTGAAGGCCTACCTCTGATACGTACTGGCTGTTCGAGACGCTAAGCAAGTCACTTAACCTCTTAGTGGCCCAGAAAATTCTCTAAGACCATAAGATGCAGAAAATGTGCTGCTCTGCATGGGTGGGGGGAGCTCCCTACACCAATGAAATCACAGAGTTTGTCAGAAAAGGCTGCGTGCTAAGGGCTGGGGTACAGAGATGAAAAAACTTGCCCCAAACATCAATGGATCTTACAATCTATCATAGAGATATTTCATATATACATGTAAGTCTGATTCGAGGGCACATGCAGTAAGCTCATGAGAGGTCAGTAAGCGATGAGAAACGGCGGGTGGAGGTGGGGGTGGGGGAGCGGGGAGATGAAGAAGAGGTCACTTCTAGAGGCCGGTTTGGGAAAGGCGTCTTAAAGACCACAGACTTTGGATTGGAACTCTTCTGATTGATGCAGTCACACATCGGGACTTCAGAAAAGTGATGATGAAGTTTGCTTTCTGGACTAGAGGTGTAGAGGCATATTTTCAGAGAGGAATAATGTGTTGATGTGTTTTGCTTGCCTATACTTATTTGTTACGAGGGTTTCTAGGAGGGCAGGGGACAGTAATTGTTGGCTCCTAACAGAGATGTAGGGAAACAAGAAAGCAAAATATCACAGAAGAAAAGGAAACAAAGTTCAACAGAGGACACAAACAGAGGAATTCTGTTATTCATTTGGTAAATTTAATATACACCTTCTAAAAGCAAAATGCTCATAGAGAAACTGAGGCCCAAAATGGGGGTGTGATTTGCTAAAAGTCATACAGCTAGCCAGGGACAGCTGGGATTCAGACCTGGGGTACTGACCAGCTCCTAAGCCACATTTACCTTCTCTACCATATTTCATCCTAGCAAATCTTTCATTGATATCAGCTTGGACTCTGTCCGTTCCAGGATTTGTGAGGGGACATAGGGGTCAGGCGGTAGTCTAGGCCTGAATCTGCCACTCACTTGCTGTTTGTGATCCTATGCAAGTCACTTCTTGCCTTTGAGATTCAGGCCTCCTCTGTAAAATGAGGGGCTGGAATAAAACTCATAAAGACCTTTCCCACTGTGAATATCTAAGACATTTGTTCCCACAAGTTTTTGATGAACTTCATTTCTGAAAGGGAGCAATTTGTGATCACGAATGTGACATCTTTTTTGTTCTTTGTACATTGTGATGTTTGTGGACTCCTTCCCATCCCTCTTGTGACTCAGTGAATTTTCACTGACCTGGGATGCTCAGGCCTGGAATGATCTTTCCTTCCTCTTCTCTGCCTCTGGGTTTCCTTCAGGTCTCTTCTAAAATCCCATCTTCTGCAAGAAGCCTTTCCAGTCTCCCTAAATGCTAGTCCCTTCCATTTATTAATCATTTATCCTGTTTATAATTTCCTTATATGTAATGGTTTGCATGTTGCCTCCCCCATTAGACTGGGCTTCTCTAAGAGCAGAGGGACTGCTGCTTTTCTTGGTGCTTAGCCCAGTACCCAGCACACAGCAGGTGCTTAATAAATGCTAGTTGTTATTGATGATGTTTAAGTTCATAATTTTAAAAAGTCTTCATGGAGGTGGCATCTAAACTGCTTGGAAAAAGGGAAGGTTTTCAATAGGAATATGGAGTAATGGTAGGAGTACTAAACTTGGAATTAGGAAAACCTGGGTTCAGATCCTGCCTCTGATACTTCTGTACTAGCTGGGTAATCATGGGGAGACAGACACTAGCTGTGTAACTCTGAGTGAGTACTTTAATCCTTGGGCTCTCAGTTCTTCATCTGTAAAATGAGGGAGTGGGACTTCGGGTCCTTTAAGGCCCCTTCTGGCTCCAAATCTGTGATCTCAAGTCACCTGACCTTTCTGAGCTTCAGTTTCTTGATCTATGGGGGAGGGGGCAATAGAGGTACCTGGAGTCCCTACCTCAAAAGAGCAGTCCCAAGCAGCAAATGAAACAATGTATGCAAGGAATTTGGCCAACTTTAAAGTAGGGGCTCATGACCTTTTCAGTGGCATGGATCCCTCCCAGTCTGAAGAAGTCCATGAAGCCCTTCTCAGAATAACATTTTTAAATGCATAAACTAAGATATGTAGAAACCAATTCTATTGAAATGCAGTTATCAAAATATTTTAAAAACAAGTTCATGGACTCTGGGTTAAGAGCCCTACTCTAAAAGCCCTGGCTTTGTAAAGAGAATATTAACTAACCCCTAGAAGGGCAGGAAATGTCAAAGGGCACACAAATTTAACAGTTGAACTTTTTCAGCAGGGTAGAAGTGGGTGAGGGCAGCTAGGTTGAGCGATGGATAGAGTGCTGGGCCTAGAGTCACAGAGGACTTTTATCTTCCTGATTTTAAATCTGGCCTCAGGCACTTACTGCTTGTGTGATCCCGGGCAAGTCACTTAACCCTGTTTGCCTCAGTTTCCTCATCTGTAAAATGGGCTGGAGAGGAAATAGCAAACCACTCCAATATCTTTGCCAAGAAAACATAACTGGGCAACAAAAGAAGCGGGTGGTTCTCAGAGCAAGAGGTGGGGGGTAGGGGGACAACTCTAGCTCAGATGTTAACCAAAGCATAAGAAAAAGACATTAAGTCCAGGGCTGCTGTGGGAACAGAGGACCGATGCCTGGGAGCCTTCTCCCATCAAGAAACCCCCAATTCACCCCACTGCCTTCTTCCCTCACTCCTTTTCTGGAAGGCCAGCTTGACTTCTGCCCTTCCCCCTTCAGCCGGTGGCAACACCTCACCTCCATCCTCAACAGAGGCCGAGTAAGAATTGCACTGCTTCCTTCTGAGGTACTGTGTGGGAGGGAGCCACCCAGAACAGAACTTAACTGAGGCCTCTCTGGGGCTCAGCACTCACTTAGCACAGTGCCTGGCACTTAGTAGGTGCTTAATAAATACTGATTGATCTGTGATCACGAATGTGAAATCCACCTTTGTAGCAGCTTGATGTCCTGAAAAGAGTCTTGGCTTTGGGGATAGGAGCCCTGCATTTGTGTCCTGGCCCTGCTACTTATTAGCCATATGATTGAGCAAATCTCTTCATCTCTTTCACAGTTTCTTCAACTTAGAAATTTCCTCTATTATAAACTACAGACTTGTTGGTATTAAAAACTCTCCACAAATCCAGTTTATCTTTTCAAACTTACTATGCATTACTCTCTGTTCCCTGCACTTACTCTATGTGTAACACTTTGTTTACATGTTGCATTCTCCCAGCAGAATGTAACTCGTTCAAGGCAGGAACTAGGTTTTCATTTCCTCTCTTTTACTGAAGATAACTCTCCGCTTGGTGGATCAGATTAGGACTAACTTCATACACGCACTCGCACACAATAACCTGCCCCACAAGTCAAATCCAAAAGTATTATGGAAATGTGAGCTTTTCACATTAAACCATAATTTTGCTACAAAATCAGCTTCCTCCATTAGAAAACATTACTTCAACATTATCAGCAAACGCTTGTACCCAACCCAGGGAGCCAGCCCAGGTGTGAGGGACGGAGGGAGTGTGGGGGTGAGGGCAAAGAAAGTGAAGACGCCAATTCTGCTGTTTTCCATTCCTTCACTGTGCAATGTCCTGTGACAGCTCTCTCTAAAGGAAAGGATCCCAATTTTGAACTTGGATCAACAGGGCCTTGCTGAGATAGGCTTCTTATCTCTCTAGAGCAGAAAAAGAAGCTTCAGCCTAACCCTGGGCAGCTTTCAGAACCAGGGTGCATCACTTCCCCCAAGCTCTTCTCCCTTCTTAGGAAGCAGGAAACATGATTAAAGATTTCGCTGAGGTTTATTAGAGCAGCAGAAGAGTTTTCAGGCCACCTTTGTGACCTAGTTGAGCTTTATTTGTGGGTGGGGAATGTATACCGAGGACAATGAGGCTGTATGCCTGTTTTATGAGAATTGGAGGACAATTCACAGCTAGACACAATTACAGAACTTGGTAGCTGTTGGCTCTTTGCTTTTTACAAAATACCATTAATCACACCTAGGCTTTATTTGATACCCCCATTGTCCTAGGGAACACACTTCCAAGGATAATATTTCTCCCAATAGAGAAGCATGATCTGCTTTACCATGCAGGTTCTAGGAAAGTGCAAAATAAGACCTGTCTGAATTGCTGAGCTAGGTAGGAGATGGGAGGTGGGGCAGTAATAAACTCATTTGGGAGTAAAAGTGAATCCATCTGGTTGATGGTAGTTGTCATCTCCTGTTTAAGGGGCTTGGTGTGCAGGCGCGTGTGCACACACACACACACACACACACACACACACACACACACACACACACACACACTCTTTTGCCCATAGAAGCAATCAAACCTGTTCAGGGCATCTATTATCATTTCTCAGCCTGGCATTTGAAGCTCTTCCTGCTCCACTCCCCACCATGTGGTCCTGCCAGACTTGGCTCCTCAAAGCATCTGCAACATACCCCTGCCAATTCTTGGTGGTAATCCTTTGCTCAGGCTGTACACCTGCCCTTTTCAGCCCAGCCAAGCGCTAAGCTATTCTTGAAGTCCCACCCTACTATGCCCTTCCCTATTCCATCCTTCACCGGTTTTTCTCTCTCTCCTGAAATCCTAGGGAAATGAAACATTCTCACTGACTCCAGTTTGAACCTTCTCCCCCTGGGGGAACTGAAATGGCCCTGCCATTCTTTGGACTAGGATGAGGGAGATCCCCAAACCAAGAGCAGGATTTTCTCCTTTCCTCCAAGAATCTCCTGACACTGGTCACTTCCATTCTCTTCTGTCCCTTCCATCCATATGTTAACACCAAGGAGGTGCAGCAAGAGCCCTTATTCTAGACACAGTGGGGAAAATGAGGACAAAGCATTTGCCTTACAGGGAATTTAAATGCCCAGGGTGGTTTGGGAAATCAAAACAGACATAACAGATGGGTAATGCCTAAGAGTCCTAGGTTTGGAGTCAAGAGGACATGAATGAATTCCCAGTTCTGCTAAGTGATCTTAGACAAGCCACACCCTCTCTGGGCCTCAGTTTCATGATCTCTAAGAATTGTGCAAGAACTAAATCTTATAATCCTATGCTATTTTATAGTGACGGGAAGGAGGGAACACCACCAGTAGGGCTAATCCCAGAAGGCTGCCTGGAAGGGGTGTGCTTTGAGTGACGACTTGGAGAAGCACAGCAGGAACATGGTTTATCAGCAGGGGATAGATGACATCTGGGGATTGCTTCTTGGCCTAATCTCCTCTGCTTTTGTGGCTCCTCAGATTGGCATTCAAGGTTTTATTGGCCTTCCTCCTGACAGAGTGCACACCTCCCCCTCCCCAAAAAGCAGATCCAAGTTCACCTCCTTCAGGCAGCCTTCTAGTTTCTTTATTCCTTTTCTCCATCTCCAGGCCTTTGGGACACAACCATCAATATTAGTCCCTACTTCTTGGAACATTTCCTTTTTTTTTTTTTTTTGGAGCATTTCTTCTCAAGTGTCCAAAAGAGCACTAGATTGAGAATAAGGAGACCTAGGTTCAAGTATAAGTTATTAGTCATTTCCCCTCTCTGGGACTCAGTTTCCATATCTGTTAAGTTGGAATAATAATATTTGTAGTACTTTCTCACAGGGACCCAGTTTTCCCATCTGTTAAATTAGGATAATAATACTTGTAATGCTATTTTACAGGGATGCACTTTCCCCATTTGTTAAATTGGGATAATAATACTTGTATTATCTCACAGGATTGGTGTGAAAAAGCACTTTATGAACCTTGTAGCAGCTTAAAAAATGTATGTGTCTGGCTCATCCCACTTGACCATAGTCTTGACCCATGACATGGACCCCAGGACCTTCCCAGCCATAGAAAAGACCTGGGTTTATCCAGGCCCTCACATACACATGAAGACTCTCGTGATTGCCTGGACCCTAGTTTCACTTCCTCTGTTGAGTGCCAACATGCCAACATGCCATGGCCTTGTCCCACCTCATCTCCCAGGGACAAGCAGGATCAAAGACTCCCCAGAAAGATGAATCCTGGGATGGGTTCATCTGGTCCTCTTCTCCAGAGGCATGGATAAAGGGATTTTACCCACTTTTCAGAGCTGGTGGGTCACTGTCAAGAGAGGTCTGTGGGGTTTCTGGGCATTCCTTCAAGTCACCTCAGAGCTAGAATGGCCTGGAAGAAGGTTCTTGGACTCACTGCTCTGAGTCTCATTTGGGGGCAGGAAGGAAAAGAGATAAAACAGCTTCAGGATTGGAGAAAGATGCCCCAGGAGCATCAAAGAACACACTTCCCAGAGTTCTTAAGCCTGAGCTTGAAATTGAGATGTAGTTAGCAGCATGACTGCACAAATACACACAGATGCACATGGACTTGTTCACTTCTACATCATCTTCCTCAGCAATCTCATTCACTTCTATGGCTCCAACCACTACTATTCAGGTGACTCTAATATCAAAATTTCCACCGCTTACCTTTCTCTTTTGAGCTCTAGACTCACACCTCCAAAAGCTTCAAACTCAACATATTCAAAACCGATCTCACTTTTTTTCTCAAATATGTTCCTCATCTTAACATTACTATTACTCTCTGCGGCACCACTGCTCACCCGTTCTCCCAAGGTTTGTAACTTCTGGGTAATCTTTGACTCCCTTACCGCTTATATCCGATCAATGGCTAACTACTGTCAGTGTCATCACAACATCTCTCACATCTCTTTCCTCTTCACTACTTCCATTGCCTCCACCCTAGGATTGGCTCTCAGTAGCATCCACTTAACTATTGCAATGGCTACCTTCACTCACTGCCTCCTTGCTTATCCTTCACAACATTGCTACCATATTAATCTTCCTTATGCATTGATCTGTTAATGCTGCTCCTCAGCTCAAATTTTATTTTCAATGGCTCCCTATCATTAACCTATCAAATTCAAATGCCTTTGCTTGACATTCATGGCCATTCACAGTCTTGTGCTACTCTACCTTTCCAGCCTTATTTCATATTATTGCCCTCCTTATATGCTGTGCCTCAGAGAAATTGGATTCCTCTCCACCTTTGGTCTACTCAACGCTGAGCCATCACACCTCCATGCCTTAGCTCAGACCGTTTGTTCTCTGAGCCTGAAATGCCTTCCTTTTCTTTCTACACCTGTTGGAATTCTACTCATTCTTTATTTTTTTTATTTTATTTTATTTTTTTTAGCAAGGCAATTGGGGTTAAGTGACTTGTTCAGAGTCACACAGCTAGGAAGTAATATGTGTGTGAGGCCTGATTTGAACTTGTGTCCTCCTGACTCCATGGCGGGTGCTCTATCCACTGTGCCACCTAGCTGCCCCTACTCATTCTTTAAATATGAACTCAAATGTCATCTCCTCCTAACCTTCTCTTGTCTCTTTGATGACCTTTCCCCTTGGAGTTCACATAATGCTTAGTTTTATCATTATATTGCACTTCTGTAATACTAAGTATTTTCGTTATCTGTCTCTGTGTCTTATCCCACTCCTCACATGTGGACATGTCTCTCCAGAGAAGCACAGTACTCAGCATCTAGTAGGTGCTTAATGAATGCTTGTTGTATTATACAGTCATATGCACTCCCTAGTACCAGGAAACGAGAGAGAGGAGAGAGGAGAGAGGAGAGAGAGAGAGAGAGAGAGAGGGAGAGAGAGAGAGGAGAGAGAGGAGAGAGAGAGAGAGAGAGAGAGAGAGAGAGAGAGAGAGAGAGAGAGAGAGAGAGAGAGAGAGAGGAGAGAGAGAGAGAGAGAGAGAGAGAGAGAGAGAGAGAGAGAGAGAGAGAGAGAGAGGAGACAGAGAGAGAGAGAGAGAGAGAGAGAGAGAGAGGAGAGAGAGAGAGAGAGAGAGAGAGAGAGAGGAGAGAGAGAGAGAGAGAGAGAGAGAGAGAGAGAGAGAGAGATGGGGATGGAGGGCTGGGGTATCCCTACCCCTCATACAGCAATCTTGCACTAGGGGATAGGGGGTGGGCTATGAAGGAGTCCACTTGTAACTAGAAACAAACCAGATCAGTCTCTCTGCTATAGACTGTAGCGTGTCTACTATGCATGTAGGTTGGGCCGGGAGGTCATGAATTCAAGGTTAGGTGAAAAGAGGTGATGGAAGAGGTTACAGTTTGGAGCTGGGGCTAGGAAGCTGAAGCCAGATCAAGGCCTGGGCTCGGGGAGGTTGACCAGAGGTGGAATGGGGTGGGCAGGGGGAGGGAAGTTCTCTGATATAGGAGAAATAGAAGATAGGAACTGGAGGTAGATCCAGAGGGTAGACAGAGGGCATATGGGGTTCTCCAGCATCCAGAGTGACTTCCTCCAGGAAAATCACAAATAGCCTCATGTGAAGGGTAGAAGACAGAAGGTAGGGACAGAATTCCTGAGGAAATAGAGAGGGATGTAGCTCCAGTATAGAGGAGGTCATGTGTCAGGGTTTAATGTGGCATCTCTCTCAATAATATCATACACTGTCCCAGCCCCAGGGCACCAAACCCCCCACATAGCAGCAACATAGTTCCATCTAAGGAATGGTCCTGAAAGTCAGAACCCCATAAGGTGGCAAGAAGTTCAGGCCCTTCCTTGTTCCCATCCCAAACACTGTCTGTGTTCTCTGGCCTCCCCCCAACTTTGAAGAGACAGACACATAGGCTAAACACTTCTCTCCCCCTGTGGTCCCAGGCATCCTCCATGAAAATTCTGGGGCTCAGAAGGGGCCACCTCCAATCCTGAAATATCTCCTCTGAGGCAGCACCCAGTCCAGGACTCCAGCTTCTTGGAAACCAGAGCCATAGAACCTGCTTACTTCTTCCTCAGCAAAAGGAGCCAGAGATGGCCAGAGAAATGCAAGAAATGCAGCACTCAACAGCCACAAAGATCTCTGGGCCAACCTTGTCAAATAATAAAAATTGTTAGGCTGGCAGCTTCCTCCTTGGAGGTTACCAAAATACTTAAGTAAATAGGTGTCCCCTGCAGCCAGGAGATTCAGCCCTCTGCTGCGCAAGGGACCACATCCTCCTGGGACAAGCAGCCTCAACAAGCTTCTAATGAGGGGGCTAGGGCTTCTTGCCCCAGCCACAGCCCAGGGGAAGGCTTCTTGGTTACATGAGTTGAGCAAACCTCGGGCATATGGCCTTCTACAAATAGTGAAGTAGAGGTCAATTCTAAGGGGAGGAATAAAAGCACATACAATTAGTGCAGGGCACCTTTAGGGCCATATATGCAAGAAATCAGGCTCCTGTTGATTCCAGGGTCAAGTACAGGGGGAAAAAAATCATCCTCTAGTCACTCTTAGGGCCACATATACAAGGAATCAGACTCTGGCTGCCCTCAGGGCCAGGCACATAGAAACCAGGCTCCAGCTGCTCTTGGGACTAGGCACAGAGAACAGAGCCGCCAGCGACAGGGAAACCACGTTGCTGGTGATTAAATATGTCTATAGAAGATATATCACTATCCTGAATATACTGTCTAGCAGACTGGAACGCTTCATCTACTGGTGAGTTACCTTAACTAATTAAATAGCATTTTGCGCTTTTAAATCCCTTTAGTGATTAAAAAAGTGCACTTATTTTCTATGAAATCTACAGGAGTCAAAGCTTCTGTTTCCAAGTGTTTCAGACCCTTGTGGGTCTCCAGCTGAGGCCTGGTCTGGCCTCTGAATTTTCTTAGGGGCCAAGTTTAACTTCCCGCAAGGAAGAGAGTCCCCCACACCCTGCTCTACCTGGTGGGCCTCAGAGCCCACTGTTAGTTAGTGCAGACGCTGGGTTGGTTCTGTAAGAAAACCTGAGCTCTGGAACGTCTGGGAAGGACCTGAGGCAAATTCTGAGCAGGAGACACCAGAAACAACCTAGCCCCAGACTGGCACGGTGCAGCCCCTCAGCCGTGGCCCCTTGGGAGCAGCTCTGCCATGGGGCCTCTCCACAGCCTCCTCTGGGCTCCATGTGGCTGGGAGGGCAACTTCCTGGCCCTGAGCAGGCCATCCAGAAAACAAAGTGTCTCGATCAGTGGCTGTCGAGGGGGATGGTGGGCAGCTGAGCAGCTGGCAGTCTAGAGTCTCCTTGTCCAGCCTCACAAGATGTCATCATAGTCAAGCAGCTTGGAATGCTGGCGCGTCTTCCAGAGACGATACAGCCGGAAATCAAAGTAAGTTTCAATCATCTGCTTGCCTAAGCAGGAGAGATGGTAAAGAGGTACAGTTAGCCTGGGAATATGGAGGGGAATATGCCTGAGAAATCTCTCCTATCTCTCCTACCTGCTCAGGAACTCACAGCCTTGACAATGAAGGACATAGAGTAGTAATTAAGAATTCTGACGCTAGAGGAAAATTCAGCTGAATGGGAATCAAGAGGTCGAGTCAGCTCAAGAAGACCTCAAAACACAAGACCTCATGTGTGGGGGAACAGATACACACCCAAGGTTTCTTCCCAGTGAACCTGATGACTGTTGTGGACATCCCTGGTGAGAAGGACGTTGTAGATCTCCAGACAATCTACCCTAGCTGGGTGCAGTCATACAGGGCAAGGGTGACCTGTCCTCCAGAGAGCCCCTCCCTCACTCGTCCAATGCATAGATTATAATGGACTTCTAATCCTTCCAACTCCAAGGAGAGGCAGAAGTGGGATGGTGATGGCATTAGGGAAGGTGGGGGTGAGGGGTATCAGTGACAGGATTCTGGAGGTAGTGACCCAGGAGTTGGGACACTTGTATCCATGATGCAACATGGGGCTTGCAGAGGAAGTTGTGGGGATGGCGCGATGGAGGACTACCACAGGAAATAATCTGTCCCTTAGATGTGGGCACCCTGGAGAAAGTCTCAGTTGTTATATCCTAATTATTTACCCTAGGTCTATCCTGGGTCTCTCTGAGCTTTGGAGATGGTGAGACAGGGCAAGGAATGGAGTAGACAATGTTAGGAGAACCATGGATAGTACTGAAAAGGACCTTGAGAAGGGCCCTCTCTTCACCCTCAGGGGCCAATGGGTTCTCTTGGTCCTAGGGAAACCTGTCAGCCTGGTCCCCTATGTCCCCCACCCCCATAGCTCCCCACCTGACCTTGCCCAGGTCTAGGACCATTTGGGACCTCACCTTGTGCTGACAACTCCAGAGGAGACTCGAAAGCCACCCTATTGGGCATCATGAGCGTCTTGAGATTCTGAAACAGCTAGAAGGGAGAAAAATAAGGCCCTGAATGTGTTGCCTTGATTGCAGGGGCCAGGAACATCTGCCAGCCTATTCTTCATTCCAGACTCAGGAGACACTCTCTTACTTGGGTTTTCCTTGTGGCTCAGGGGGTTCCTAGATTGGGAAGGTCTTCAAGGTTGGGAGTAGGGGGTTTCTTGCTTTTTCCCTATCAGGATTGCTTGGTTGAAAGATACCTCTAGGGTCGGGGGTCAGGGATCAGGGTTGTAGGTGGAGGGGGAAAACCTTACCTTCTCCCCATTGGGGTTTCCGAGGATATAACAGCCCATGATGTGGATGATGTTTGGTTCAGGGTTCACCTTGCTCATCAGACGACTCAGGCGCTTCCAGAAGCTGCCATCGGGGAAAGAAAGTTTGTCTCTGGATCCAGGAGCCTGCGCTCCCAGCTCAGAGTTCTGATCTCCCTCCACCTACTAGTGGAGGGCCTTTGGGCACCAGCCACAGGGATGAGGGTAGTGTGGTTTACTAGAATCGAGAAGGGATGAAAGATGGGGTAAGGGATAGGTTGGGGAGGGGGCCTCGGTTATACTCACTGGTTTATGTGAAAGGGTTTGTGGCGGGGGGGGGATGTGAGAAAGATGGGGAGGCTGAGCCACACTCACTGAATCATATCCTCTTCCTTTTCCACTTTGGCAAATGTGGCTACTTTGTTCTTGAGTAGGTAGAGGTGACCTGGGCCGCCCTGTAGGGGGCAGGGGCAGGGATGGAGGACACTGATGACAACGATTTTTAGAGCCCAAGACATATTCCAGATCCTCCGAGGATTAGAACACCAACCTCCCATCCCAACACAACTCCCACAGATATACCTAGACACGCCTAGATACAAACACATAGCATCCCTCTCTCACACATGGGAACACAGATGGGCAGAGGCTCTAGGTGGGGTAGTTACCTGACAGAAGATCAGCATCTTCCAGATCTTTGCCCCTTTGTGGTAAATATTCAGCTTCTTCTCAATCTCCTCTGAGGAAGGAAAGAAATCTTCAGACTTGACTTTTACCCAGCACCCTTCCCAAGGCCCATGTTCTCTCCCTACTTGCCACCTTCCCACCTCCAGGGGGAAGGTCACATATAGGCTCCTTCTACCTAGGCAGTATAGGAGTAGGGACAGACTGTTGGACACTTGAGATCTCTTCTGAGAGGAGGGGCAAGTATTGGACTCTAGGGTCCTCTCTTTGTTGGGGGGCAGGGACAGGTTCTAGCCTCTAGGTCCCATCTTGGCTGGGGCAGGGGAGGGGAACATAGTCGTACCCAGAATGTCCTCGAAGGTTGCATGCTCATGGTCCTGGAGAGGAAGGAAAGAGGAAGAGTTAATCCTATCCCAATAAGCATTGTGTATCTAATTGTCTGCATTTTTTCTTATCCTTTTGCTAGACTGTGAGTTCATTAAGCACAGGGACCCTGTGTAATCCAAGCCCTGTATCTCCCCTGTACAGTGTTTTGTGCACTATATTTCAGTTCCTCACAAGATCACTAGAGGGAATCTCAGAAGTCATCTAATCATAGGATCATAGCATGGATTCTTAGCTGTAAGGAACTTACCTTAGAGACCATCTAGTCCTTGTTTTACAGATGAGGAACAGACCAAGAGAGTTTAAATGAGTGGCCTGCCCAAGGTCACACAGACAGGAAAGAGCAGTCAGACCTCAAACCTAGGTCCTCTGACTCTAAATCCTGCACCTTCTTCATTTCAAGGATCTGTGATTTCACCAGTGTACGTGGTACTGGCTGGCAGAAGGTACCACCCTTGTGTACCTTAGTTGATGCTGTAATTTAACCACGCTGATAATGAAACTCTGAATTTATTTCCTCAAATGGCCAGCCCAGAGTTCATTACAGGACTAGTGTGGGAAGTCTTTTGGGCTCAGTAAAGCCTGCCAGGGCTTGACTTCCATTGGTAGAGCCTCCATGACAGAGGGAGGTACAGAGGACATTAGTGGCGAGTTCTTCACGTAATAGGTGCTTATCTTCAACTTCTCACCCTCTCTCACCCTCTGGATTCAAGCAGTTGCCAACTCTTGTCATTTCTACCTTCCCGGCATCTCTCACATCTGCCCCACCCCCTTCTCCATTCACACAGCTACCACTTTAGTTCAGGCCCTCATCATTCTTGGCTTAGATTATTACAATAGAAGAATTGGAAGTTGAGGGGATGCCCATCAATTGGGGAGTGGCTGAACAAGCTGTAGTATATGAATTAATGGAATACTATTGTGCTATAAGAAATGATGAGCAGGTATATTTCAGAAGAAACTGCAAAGACATATAAACTGATGCAGAACAAAGTGAACAGAACCAGAACATCATACAGAGTAACAGCAATACTATACGATGATCAACCGTGAATGACTTAGCTCTTAGCAATACATTGACCCAAGACAATTCCAAAGGACTCATGATGAAAAAAGCTATCCACATCCCGAGAAAGAACTGATTGCATTTGAATGCAGATTGAAGCATACTATTTTCATTTGATTTTTTTTCTTTTGATCTGTTTCTTCTTCTTTCACAACATGACTAGTATGGAAATACATTTTACATGATTGTATATATATATATATATGTATGTATATGCACACACATATACATACATACATACATACATACATACATACCTATATCATATTGCTTACCATCTTAGGGAGGGAGGAAGGAAGGGAGGAAATTTGGAACTAAATTTTTTTTTAAATGAATGTTAAAAATTGGCTTTACATGTAATTTGAAAAAACAAAATAATACTAGATTATTGCAGTAGCTTCATTATTGGTCTATCCATGGCCCATAGCCCACAGGTCGAGAACCACTGCTGTGATTAGCCCCTCTCATTTTACAGATGAATGAAATATAGCCAGGTAAATAGAAGATTCAAAATTTGAGTGAGTCCTTTCAGAGCTCTTTCTTCTCCATTCTAGCAGCCTACCTCATCTTCAGGATTTATATAAAGTCTACTATGTGGCAGGCACTGTGCTTCACAAGTTTCTCTCCATTCCAATCCATTCTACACATAGCTGCTGAAGTATCTTTCCTTAAGCATAGATATGACCGTATCATTCCCCTACTCAGTAAACTTTAGTGGCTCCCTACTGCTTCTTGGATCAAATATAAACTTCTCAGTTTAGCTTTTCACAACCTGGCCCCAAATTATCTTTCCAGACTCATTGGACATTGCTCTCCCTCCTGCACACTGTGATCCTGCCAAACTGGCCTCTCTGTTCTTTATTCACAGGATTTCATGCCTGGAATGCACTGTCTCTTCACCTTTACTTCACAGGATCCCTTTTCTTCCTTCAAAACTCAGCTCAAGTATCGCCTTCTACAGGAAACCTTTCCAGATTTTCCAGTTGCTAGAGCTCTCCTTCCCAAACTGCTTTATATTCAACTACATTATGTTTATTCTATTTATATTTATTCTGCATGTGCTTTACATATATGTATATATGCGTGTGTGTATGTATGTGTGTATATGTACTTTGTGTCTCCTCCCTTAGAAGGTAGTTCCTTGAGAGTAGGGATTACTTTATTCTTTGCATCTCCAAAGCCTGGAACAGTACCTGACATGGAGTAACTACGTAATTAACAAATGTTTGATTGGTTAATCAATGTTTGTTAAGTTTGTTGAGGAAGCGAGGTGGTACAGTAGATAGAGTGTCAGGCTTGGAGTCAAGAAGACTTGAGTGCAAATTTGGCCTTAGACACTTACTAGCTGTGTGACCTTGGGCAAGCCACCTCTGTCTGCCTCCATTTTCTCAACTATAAAATGGGGATAATAAGGATGAAATTAAATTAAATAACATTAGTAAAATTGTAAATCACAGTGCCTGCCACATAGTAGATGAGGTAGGCTGCTAGAATGGAGAAGAAAGAGCTCTGAATTTGGGCCCAAGGACTCAAGTTCAAATTTTGATTCTTCTATTTACCTGGCTTTATTTCATTCATCTGTAAAATGAGAGGGGCTAATCACAGCAGTGGTTCTCGACCTGTGGGCTATGGGCCATGGATAGATTTCAGAGGGTCCATAAACTTGAATGGGAAAAAAAATTACATCTTTATTTCCCCCTAACCTTTAACTGAAATTTAGCATTTTGTTTGATTACAAAGTTAAAGGAAACCCCAACGTTAATAATAATGATAATAGCTAACATTTATATAGTACTATGTGTTATACACTGTACCATACGCTATATTACAGTGTTCTAAACACTGTGCAATTATTATCTCATTTGATCCTTACAACAACCCTGAGAGGCAGAAGCTATTATTGTCCTCATTTTATAGATGGGGAAACTGAGGTAGATAGAACTTAAGTGACTTGCCCGGGGTCACACAGCTAGTAAGTGTCTGAGGCTGGATTTGAACTCAGGTCTTCTTGATTCCAGACCCAACACTCTATCCACTGCACTGCCTAACAACATGATTCTGTGAAGGGATCTACAGGCTTCACTAGCCCTCCAGAGGGGTCCATTAATCAATAAAAGTATAAAACCATTAGACTAAGGGAGGTTTGATCCTGATTTAAACCCTGTGAAATCCTGGCCAGCCTCTTTTGAGCTGAGGTGCTGTGGAGTCAGCAACAACTCTGAAGCAGGGTGTATAAAAATTATCATCCTCATTTTAGAGATGAGGAAACCAAGGGAAAAATTTGCCTTCTGTGAACTTGGGGGAGAACTGAGCCAAGTTGAATTACTCATCCTCGTTATCTCATCACTGCTGATGCACTCACTGGCTTGTGTTTTCCATATCTGTCCCTGGCTGGCAGAGAGGGATGCTGGGGAGTCAGATGGCTGGAGAACCCCAAACCTACTGTGCAGTCGGGAGCAATCCAAGTCTTCCGAGTGGCTGAGATGCTGATCAGGGTGGAAGATGAAAGATAGGGAAAATGTCATTTTCTGGGCAAAGGTCATGAGAGAGTTGGGTATAGGCCCAAGTACTTAGGAAAAAGGGGTTTTTCATTTACTCCCATGTTGAATTCCCACAAATCCACAGAATCTCAGAATCTGAAGGGACCTCAGAGTCCCTTCCCTAATCTAAAACATACATCCTTGCTAAGTAGCCCTCCAGCTGCCAAGGGAAGACTTCCAGTGAAGGGAAACCAAAAACCTATAATGAGCTAATTTTCTTTACATCTAAATGACAACTGCCTTTCAAGGACTCCCACTTATAGCTCTATCCTCTGGGACCAAGCAGACACCAATTTGAATCCCTCCTTCTTAATGACAGCCAATCAGATAGTGAAGACAGCTGTTGTATCACCCACCTCTTTCCCCCAATCTTTTCTTCTGTACACTGAGCATCTCAATTCTTTTAACTTTGGAGTTCTTAACGTTTTTATGTCATAGACACCCCCCCCCAGTCTGGTGAAGCCTGTGAACCCCTTTTCAGAACACTTCTCAGAACAAACCTGTGAACTCCTTCTCAGAACAATTCTCAGAACAAGGCTTCCCACACTGACTCTGCAATGAACCACAGGGCTGTCCCACTGGGGAAATAAATTCAGAGAGTTTCATTATCACAGTGGTTCAATTACAGCAACTTTAAGAGACCATCAACTAAGGTGCAAAAGGGTGGAGGAATGTCTTTAAATATGAAAAAAAATATGTAGGATTACAAGAGCAACTAATTATATTAAAATATAATTGTCAAATTATTTTTTAAAAGTTCACAGACCCCCTGGTAATCTATCGATAGCACCTAGATTAAGAACCCCTGCTTTTTAACCGACTCTCGCATGGCATGGACTCCAGTCCCTTCACCACATTAATTTTCCACCTCAGATATGCTACAACCCTTCACAAAAGGCAGTGCTGGAATGTACTCTTATCATCCAGATATGATCTGCTCAGTATATAGTGCTAAAAACCTATGGGTTCATCCCCTTCACTCTGGACATGTGGTTGTCTTAATGTGGCCTGAGATAGCATCAGCCTTTTTTTGGGGGCGGGGGTATATCTACTATTGATTCATGTTGAGCTTTCAGTCCACTAAAATTGAGATCTTTTTTTCATGTGAACTGTTGTCTAGCTGGACTTCCACTATCCTATATTTGTGCAATTTAGGTTTTAAACCCAAGTATGAGACTTGATATGTATCCTTATGAATTTCATCTTATTAGATTTAGTTCATTGCTCTAGCCTGTCAGAATCTCATTGGATCCTGGTGTTATCATCCAATGCATTAGCCATCCATTTTGGCGCTGAGAAGCAGGCCATCTATGCCATCACCCAAGGTATTGACAAAAAATGTTGAACATCAGGAGGCAAAGGACAGATCTCTAACTGTCCCTATATTTGTTGACACCAATGCATTAATGACTATGCTTGGGGTCTTGTCATTTAACCAGTTCCAAATTCAACTAATTATATTTCACCATTTTATCCATGAGCATAAGAGACTTTGCCAAAAGTCTTACTGGAAATCTAGTACAGGAAATCTATAGATACAGCATTTTCCTGATCTAATCTAATAACCCTGTTAAAAAAGAAATGAAATGGAGTCAGTTTGGCCAGGCCTGTCCTGATGAAGATACACCGGCGCAGCAATCACTCACTGCCTTCCTAAATGCTCCAAACTGTCCCTTTGATAATACGTTCCGGAATATTGCTGGGGATTGACAGCAAGTTTATTATTCCATAGGCTGTAGAGGACACCCTCTTCCTTTTCTTTTGAAAACTGACATTTGCTTATTTCCAGTCCCATGGAAGCTTTCCTGTTTGCCATGACGTTCCATGAAATCACATCTGTCAGTTCTTTCAGTACCATCAGGTAACGTAATTTGAATGTGTTGAAGGCTGCTAGTTGCTCTCTGACCATGTCACTTATCTTGCTCTTCAATTTTGTGTTAATTATTTTGGTTCTATCCTTTTTTAGTTCTCATGTTGTTGGCAGATAAATCAGAAGCAAAAAAAAATCTGTTACCCATTATCATCCAGTTCGTGCATTAGACCTGTCTCTTCATTGATATTCTTCTTGTGCCCATATGAGTGAAAAGGCAATTTCGTTGTTTTTACTGTGCATTATTAGACACTTCAGGGAGCTTCATTCTGGGCTTTAGAACTTCAGATATTATTTTTATAAGATTCTGTCACTTTTTTTTATTCTTTGCTACATGTCCTAGCTTCCATCTCTCATTGTCGTTGTTGTTCAGTCATTTTTGGTTGTGTCCAACTCTTTGTGACCCCATTTGGGGTTCTCTTGGCAGAGGTACTTGAGTGGTTTGCCATTTACTTTGAGGAGACTGAAGCAAACAGGGTTAAGTGACTCGCCTAGCACCACACAGCTAGTCAGAATCTGAGGCCAGATGTGAACTTATGAAGACTCCAGGCCCAATGCTCTATCTACTGCACTACCTAGCTGTCCTTCAATCTTTGGTATGCGCCTTTTAAAAATCTAAGTTGGTGAATAAATTCCAAGTGTATCTACATTAGAGTTCATCTTGACCTCTCTTCTCTTTCTCCTCTCTCTATCTATTGGTAATCTCATTAGCTCCCAAGGATTTAATTTTCATCTCTAGATAGACAATTTCTCAATCTAGCCATTCAACACTAAAAGGCTCTTTCCTGAACTTTAGTCCCATGTAACCAACTGTGAGCATCTCCACCTGCACATCCCATTGTATTTCAGACTCAAACAAGAGGCAACATGGTACATTAGGAAGAGCAATGGATTTGGAGTCAGAGTACCTGAGTTCAAATCCCAGCTCTGCCACTGGGGCCTTGGGCAAGTTATTCCATCCCTTGGAGCTTCAGTTTCTGTCTGTTAAAATGAGGGGGATTGGACTGGATGACCTCTAATGATGTAATTGAGCTGCACGGTGAGGATGAAACTGTACCATATGACCATTATATGAGACTTGTAGCATGATTCACTACATCAATGAGTTTATAAGCCTAGGATTAGAGATTGAGAGCTGGAAGAGCCCTCAGGGGTTGTCCAGTCTGACTCCTTCATTTTACAAATAACATGTACAAAATCAAATCCCTTCCCCAAAACCATTTTTCCTTGTTTCTGTTGATGGCACACCCTTCTTCGAGGTACCCAGGTTCACAAGCCTGGTATGATCCTTGACTTCTCTCTCTTCTTCATCCCCATATCCAATCCAGTCAGATGCTAGGTTTTATTGACCTTACCTCTACAACCTTTTTTTTCCATCCTTCTCTTATACCCGCACAGCCTCCACATTAGTTCAGGCCTTTGTAACCTCTAACTTGGACTATTGGTCTCCCTCCCTCCAGTTTCTTCCTTTCCAACTTATCTTGCACACACATTCACAGCTGCCAAATTGATCTTCCTAAAACAATAATCTAATCATGTTGTGCACCTCCCCATCCCACCCCCACCCCCCAATCTTTGGTGACTCCCTATTGTCTATGGAACAAAACAGAAATCTTTACCTTGGCATTTAAGCCTCTTTACAATATGGCTTCCATTTACCTTCTTAATTTTACATCATATTCCTTCCTTCCATGGATTCTCTGTTTCTAGTCAAACTGGTTTTCTAGCTGTTTCTCCTACATGGTATACCATCTTTTAGCCATTGTATCTTTGCACACATGATCTCCTATGGCTGGGATGTGCTCCTCCCTCCTCATTTCCGCCTCATAGCATCTCTAGTTTCTTTTGAAGCACAGGTCAGAATTGGGCTCAGATCAGTAGTTTCCCTTTACCTTTTGAAAAACTAAATGATCATTATGACAAATTAAATTTATCAGCTTTTCTGCCTCTGAATGAGAGGAAGCTTTGACAGATGTCCAGGTAGTTGGAGTTCCCATTGTTACTTTACCATGCCAGATTTGTGATCTGTTTCCTGAATTCATCTACTTCCTTCTTCTTTCCAGGTGGTCTGTAGTATACTGCCATAACGGTATTGTTTCTGTTTCTTCCTCTATTCATCCTTCTCTGAGTGCTTTCCACCATGCTTCTCCCTCCCCGCTCACCCTCCACATACTTTACATGAGCTATGGGTTAGTGGATTCCATTCATGTATCTCTTCCCATCAGGTCTCATTATTAACTATGAAGATGAATTTGTCTCATTTTGTGTATGGAGATCTGAAGCTATGAGTTTTGTTGCTAGTTTTCTTCTTGGGTATTGTTTCCTGTGAATTGTTAGTCCTTTTTACTAGTATTTTTCTCTCTCTCCTACACCTGCTATTCTTTATGGTAGCTGGCTTGGTAGATGTGAGAAGTTTTTTCCTTCTCCCTCCATTTCTAATTCTGTGCTTAGCAAAAGTGCCTGGCACAGAGTAGGCATTTAACAAATATTTATTGGCCACAGTCTAAAATCCAAATCTCACTCTCAGATACCATCTTAGCTAGTTGTTCGCTTTCCAAATCCATCTTTTTCTTCTGAAGTCCCTATACTTTTGCCCTTAGCGTTTTTAATTTTTTGCCAAGGACTTCAAAGTTCCCATCAATCCTTTCTAGGTTACAATGTGATGAGGCAGAGTGCTTGATTTGAGGACTTGGATTTGAATTACAGTTCTCCCATTTATGATTTGTGAGACCTTGGACAAATCATTTAATTTATCTGGGCCTTAATTTCCTCACCTTGCAAAATGAAGGGATTTAACTATATGACCTGTGAGGTCGCCTTCTAGCTTTGCACCTATGATCTGGAGGCCAATGTGGCCATTTTAAAAAAAAATATAAAAGCTCTCTCAAAAAAGATCACTTATTCCAATATAAATATGAATCACTGGATGGGGGGGGCGGGGGCGGGTTTAGTCTCCCTGGTTAGGATTCTTCAGGTTTGACAAATTTGGGTGGTCTCTCTGTCTTGTCTCAGATACCCCCAGGAATTCCTAGTCAGGTCAGGTTGACAGATTTTTTTCCTATGGTGGACTATGTATGAATTTATATATTATCTTTTCCCCTGTGAATAAACCATAGAAAATGTATTTTGTGTTCTGAAGAGAGAGAGGAGAGAGATGGAGGTAGGTGCTGGAACTAGGATTCAAGATATGGTAGCTGCAGTAAAGGTGGATATTAATTAACGACAGGCTGCCAGGTCTCCAAGCCCAGGAAGTCAGATAGATTTACATATTAGGAGGCTTAGGGCCTCAAGTTAGGGTTGAGGGGTCGAAAGAATTTAGAGAATTGTGAAAGCAATGAGGTAGGAGGCAAAGATCCTAGTGTGTATACTTCAGGACCCAGGGCTACATCCCTTATAACATGCACATATATGTGCCCCCATCTTCAACCAAATGGAAAACAGGGATTAAAGGTTATGATTGTCAGAGAAATACAAGCAAGCAAATTTTTTCCATGTCTTCCAAATATAACACAGTGAGTATTTTTTTTTTTCCACAGAGGGGCAGTGGGAATCAATGAAAAGAAATGCAAGGGAACGTTGCCTAGCTGTACCAGATCTTAAATTGTATTATAAAACCACAGAGGGGTAGTGCTGAAGGATTATGGGTAGGAAGCAATACTGTGGGGAGCAGGGAGTAAGTACTCACATAGAGGATGGGGATGATGGATGGGTCATCCCTGCGGATGATGGTTGGGATATACTCAGCTTTGGGAACCTTGGAAGATATGAGCTGAGGAGCAAGAGAAGAACAGTTGGAGTGACTGAGCCTCAAAGGAGAAGTGGGTCCCATGGAAATAAGCAGGGCTCTATTACCAGATCACCACCTCCCACCTCCTCCACCCCCTCCACTGCTCCTTTGGGGACTGGGTAGAAAAGACCACAACCTGGGCAGCAGCACCTCTTCTGTGGAGATTGGACAAGACAATATATCCCCCTTGAGGAGTGCGGCATTAGTTCTAAGTCCCAGGGAATTGCTAGACCTGCCTGAGGGCAAGCACGTCTAGGACCTCACCATGACCTTGGGTGGGATGAAGTCCTCAAAATCACATGCCACAGCCTCCTGTTCTTTCTCAGTCTCCCAGTCCAAGTCTTCAAGGTCCTCATCCAGAGTGCAGCAGGAGTTCTGGAGGTCATGGCCTTGAGGGGAAAAGGACACGGTCAAATCAGTTCAGAGATGCTCGGCTTACTGAGGATAGGAATGGGGGGTGAGGCCTGTCCCCAAACTGGGTTGGGAGAGGTGTTAGAAACAATAGACGATGTCTTGAATTTGGGCTTGCATTCCAACACATACCCACCCCCAACAAGAAGCAACTAAGAGGGGACAGGTATGTCTCCATTCTACAGATGGGGAAACAGAGGCAACCTTCTACAGAATTCTAGAGTATTATAGTCTGAAGGGCCCTTAGAGATTATCCAGACAAACTTTTTGCATGGAGAGACAGGCCCAGAGGGGAAGTCATTTGGCCAACATCACAAAGTCAGTCATTGGCAGAGTGGGGCCTAGAGCCTAGCCTTCCCACTCCTAGGTTCCCTCCCCACTGTAACAGGTTTTGTTTTTTTTTAATACACCCAGTGTGTGTCAAATGCATCCCCTAGTCCCATGCTTGATGTGTGCCCATAGCTTCAAGGCCTGTTTGCTTGGGTTAGTCCCCTTTCAGTGCTGGGCAACCCTGCAGCCTGAAGACCCCCAGTGGCTGGGGGAAGCAGCATTGGCATGAGCCCCAGCCCCGCACAGCAGCCCCACCCAACCCAGCAGTGGTTTAGCCCCTGCCCAGCTCAGCGTAGCCATCCCCCTGCTCAGGGGAAGTATCCCCCCCGCATTGATGCTTAGTGGGGGTGGGTATGTTGTAGACTGAGAATGCCTGCTGCTTTTCAGGCTAAGGGCTCCCCAGCTGGGACCTGGAGCCAGCCCTGAAGGCACAGGGCAAGGATCTTCTTTTGACTTCTTCCAAGGCAAGGATGGGTAGGTGGGAGGTAGAAGATAGGATTCCCGGTGGTTAAGGAAGGAGGGACTGGAAAGAGATGTCCCAGCAGTTCTGCACCAGGGGTAGAAAATTCCAAATGGGTTTTTTGTTTCTGCTGCTCAGTCTTATCTCTTTGCCCTCTTTCTCTCTCTCCTCCTTTTCCCTTCCCTCTATCATTTGGTCCTTCTTGCTCGGTCTCTGTTCCTTGCTCTGTCTCTCTCTGTCTTTGCTTTTCTCCCCTTCACACTTTTCTCAGTCTTTTTCCCTCTCTGTGGACCCATGTACTTTAGAATGAGGGAAGGTGGGCAGGCCTGGCCTGGTGGTTGCTGTCTGTCCTGTTAGGGGTCTAGTGCCTGGAACCTACTGTCTCGGGAGTCGTGGAAGGAGTCGGTTTTGATGGGGGTGGGATCGCTCCAGGACCGGCTGAAGCTCCGCTCTCGACGCTCAGCAAAGGCTGCAGTGGAAGCAAAATGGGGGGAATTAGCAGGAGCAGGAGCCGAGGCCTAGACTGTAGGCACTACACTTGACTTTGGGCAGTGTGTGGGTGGAAGGCATGGCCCCCAGGGTGCCTGACTTCCTCCCTTGGCCTGGCCAGGGTTCTCCAGGTCCCAGAGTCAAACCCAGAAGTTCCTGGGGCTATTGTCTTGATTTCTAGGTTCCAATGGTCTCAGCTGCTGAGACCTCTGCACTTCATTAAGGTAGCTTTGTAATCTTGGGATGTGTCTATTCCTGGGGATTTAGGGTGGGGTGGGATCAGAGAAATTGCTAACAGCCTTAGAAGCAGCTTGGCCTCAGAGGGTTGAATTATACAGTTAAATATTTATTTTCCCCTGGACTTTACTTCTTTGCTTCTGTTCCAGGGTCAGCCCTCAGGGCCTGAGCCCTACATGCCCCTGGGCCAGGGGGTGGCACTCACTGCCTGGCTAGTCTGTCCGCAAGCAGCATGCAAAGCATGGATACCCAGGCAAGCCAGGCTTCATTAGCAGGTGGCAGTGGCCTCCCCCCTCCCCCACAACCAGTGGTTGTCTGTCTGGGGTGTTGGGGGGAGGCTAACCTCCATCTTAGGAACACCACCCTCAGTGGCCCCCTCTCCCGGCCTTACTTTGGGCTTTCACACGCCGGCTGCCCACCATTCGCAGATGCTTCCGGAAGTTCCTGGCAGGAGGAAAAGCAGAAACCAGGGGGCCATAAGGGTGGAAGTTCAGTGATAGGGGTTTTGGAACAACAGGCAGCAGGGGTGGGTGGGTTTGAGGTTTGCCCAAACTCCATGGCCTGACTGAAGCCATCTGTCTGTTTGTCCATCCATGTATCCACCATCTGCCTGTTCAATCCATCTGTTTTATCTATGAGCCCAGGGGAGGAAGATGAGGGGAGCCATGACATAGGATAGGGGGAATAGCTAGCCAAAGCATGTCGAACCACAGAGCGGATGATGGGTGACACTGCACACATACGCTAACACTGAACTCAGCCTCTTTCTTCCCAAACAAACTGCCCCTTTGGATTTTCCTATTCCTGTTAGTGGTCCCCAATCCATCTCTAATTCCCCCAATCACCCTGGCTTAACACCCAAGGGTCATCTTAGATTCCTCCCTTTTCTATCATGTCCATCCATTTCCCAAGCCCTCTAGATTCTTCCATCACAGTATCTCTCATGTGGCCACCTAGGCCTCTATCCATAATTGTCTCCAATCTCTACCCTCTCCACTCCTTCTTATGTTACTGTCAAAATAATCGTCCCAATGCCTCCTCTGTACGTCACTTCACCGCTTAAAACCTTTAGTGGATGTATGTTGTTCAGAAGACCAGTACAGACTCCTTGTCCCAGAATTCCAGGCTCTCCACAAGGTAGGTGGTCACTCTAAGTTATTATACCCAGGGTAATCTCATTGACTCTTGAACAAGCCAGCTCCTGACTCCCCCCTCCCTCGTCCTGGCTTCCTGCATGTCCTCCTTTTTCCCTTCTGTGAATTCAGACCCTAGTTCTTCAGGCCAAGGGTGAGCTTTACGTATTCCACAGTGCTGGCTTCTACTTCTCCTACATCCTGTAGGGACTGTGTCCCTCACCTGACCCTTTCCCTAATTCTGTATGAGAACTTTTGTGTGTCCTGAGCTCCCAAGGGCAGAACTGGGTAGGATTAGGTGAAGTGGCACTGACAATTGATGGAGCAGAGAGGATTCTAGGGACCCAGAAATAAGGCAACAAGGGATGGAGGCCCCATGTCTATGAGCTCATTATCTGGCCTGGAACTGGGCTGCTCCCCAGGCTGGGTAGTGGAGATGGCCAGAGCTTCTCAGAAGGAAGGGTCAGGATTGCTCTTGTGCTCCTCAGGGTGGGGGTGGGGCAGGAGAAATCAAGTGTCTGAAGGGTAAGGAGTGCTTGCCCTATCCATCATCTAGGGCATCTGGAACCCACTAAGGGAGAGGAGTCCACAGATGACCAGCTCAGCCACACTCTTGACCTTCCTCTAAGACCCCTGTAGGTTTTCTTACATCTGTAGCCACAGGACTAAGAACGTAGACCATAGCTCATATTTCTATGACCTAGCTATGACTTAGTCCCTAAGGCACTACTTCTCCAGAGACCTCGAATCCCTCCCTGCTCCTCTGTGGACCTCTACTTGGGAAGCTTTGGCTCCCAGTTCCCCTCAACTCACCCTATAGACCACAATAGTACATGAATATATAATCAAGGGATGGCAAACCATTTGGCTACCCCAGGCTGAAGTCCATACTGGGGGCTTTCATTTCTCTAGTCATCTGGGGCCACAAAGGTAGCAATCCTGGTCAGCTATGTTTATCCTTCTTGAATTTTAAGGAGATCCCAGGATCTGTTTTCCCACTAGCTGCTCTCTAGAAGTGGTTCTGCCTGGGAACAGAATATGTTTGCCCAGTCAAGATCTTGGGTTTCAGGAGGGTGGCCTTATGGAAATATTGATAGGAGGTCATTGGCAGCCCTTTCCCTCCAGTTCTTTGCATAGTTAGCTGGTTCTCATTGTCTCCCTGGGGTCACAGAGTTAATCCCTGTTAGCTACCGACAGTTTTCTGCCCCTCCCCCCAGGCTGAATTAATGACCCTACCAATACCCTGAATCTTTGTAAAGTGCTATTTTGGCCAACCATCCCATTAAGGAGTTCCCAAGGCAGAGGGAACTTTGTAACCAGCCCCCATCCTCCCCACTCCATTAGGCCTGCCTGTCTCCCTCATGACCACAGCACGGACAGGAGACAAGACTCTGGACAGGGGTGCACACCATGGGCTGGCTGTGGCTGCCAGGCCCTACCTCTGGATTACGGCTGCGGAATCATTCTCTCGTTTCCGGCGCTTCCTCTCAGCGTAGCCCCTGAACACCCTGAGAAACCACGGCATGTCATTAACCCCCAGGGTTGCCCAGCACGCGGGACAGCACACAGACGGAGGCACGGATTCCCAGCAAAGTAGACGACAAGAGGTAGAGGGACCAGCGCAGGCCACAGCAAGGGCACGGAAGTGTCTGCACAGCACTTGGTGGTGGTGGGGACTGGGAACTCAGGGAAAGCAGAAAAAAGGGGGCTTCTACCTCCTGCCTCTGAGTCTGCCTGAAAGAGGGAGGCATTCCCTCCTCTGTCTAGCTGTCTGTCTCTCCATCCCCCAGCAGGGCCACGGTGCCATGGAGGGGGGACTCTCGGTCCCTTCCACCACACCTCCCCTTTAGGGACGCCAGGTCCCAGGCCCAGCCCTTGACCTCCACTGAAGACAGCCTTGGTCAGCCCAAGCTGCGGGAAGGCAAATGGGGCAGTCTGAAAGGGGTTTCCCCAGGAACACACTGAACCACCAGGAGGCATCAGAGACACAGACACACAGAGGGGGACATATCTACTTACGAGATGCTAGAGCCGCAGGAAAGCAGGAAGGGAGAGAGGAAAGAGAAGAGATGATTAGTGATGGTTAGTTACAACAGTGGCCCCCCCTCTAGCCTGATCCTCCGCTTCTCCTCCAGAGCAAGCAGCCTTCACTTGAAACAACAAGGCTCACCACATGCCAAAAAAGGCTGGGTGTGCAGTGTGAAAGGGTGGGAGGGATAGTGGGGAGAAGGGTGATGCTCAGTTCCTCTGGGGTACCCAAGTTCTAGGATTCTACCCTCAGGGAAAGCAGAGGGGGAGGGGTCACAAGGGCATGGGAACCGCTCATTTTCGGGTTTCTGTCAAGAACTGGCCCATGTACAGGGAACAGTCTGGATGGCAGTAGCCAGGCTGACATTTCTGTTTCAAGGCTCCGGCGCTTTCATGCAGCCACTCTGGTTTCCTTGGCTGAAATCAGCCTCTCCCTACTCAGATATTTCTAGGGCACTTTATCTGGATAGCTCATTTGCCTCCATCACTCCTTGTATGATGTTTGTCTGTGCATGTGGAATAGGCCACTCCCCTTCCCTCTCCCAGTACAATGTTCTTTTTAAGGGCAAGAGCTGTTATTTTTATCATTGTATTCCTAGTGCCTAGCATACAGTAGGTGCTTAAAACATATTTGTTAAATTAAATTGCTAAACCCCTCTTCACTTCCATTCCCTGTAGCCTTGCCATTGGGTGGCATTTTTAAAAGGGTACAGGATCTTAGGGCCCCAGTGACCCATAAGCTAACCTTCAGCTGGCCATGGAGTAGCAGTGGCACTTAGAAGAGCAAGACTAGGTCTTAGAGGTGAAGGTCCTGGGGGTGCTGCTTTATACATGAGCTCGTTCTGGGCCCTATGGTTAAGTAGGGATAAGAAGACCCTGGGGTCATCGGATCAATACTCATATGGAGGGACTAAATGGAGCTGACCTTTGGTATGGAAAAAAGATGGTCAAGGAGAGATTGGTGTGCCTCAATTTAGGCCAATTCCAAAAAATGTGGAGTTAGGCCAAAAATAAATTAGGGGATGATGATTAACAAGAATCCAAATGAATTCTCTGCAAGTTACTTTATACGTTAAATTTGCTCCAATGTGTTTAAGGTGGTATTTGATTTATAGAAATTCAACTAGCAAACAGGTTTTTCTGAAACCATCTGTTGCCTATTAACAAGGGTATTGAGGGCTTTCATAACTCCCACCAGCAAAGGAATATTTTGGGGGTTGTTTCAGAGGGTAGTGAGTTCCTCATTATAGATGTTTGAAGAGAGAGGCCTTCTGTCATGGGATTTTAGAGGCAATATCTTCCCAAGCCCGGAGGCTTGTATTAGACAATCCTTGAGCTCCCTCCTAGCTCTGTGAACCTGACTGGGGTTTGGGGCCCAGAGATGAGATGCTGGGCAGTTAGAGGAGAAGGTCTCTAGAAAAGGGGAGAAGGACAGAAATACTGGACCAGTGCCAGCACAGTAATGCCTGTGTAGATACAGAGATACACAGATGCCCGTGATGAACACAGACACATGTTTACAGACAGGCACACAAATATATGTACACAGATAAACACACAGATAAGTATACACCTACCTCAACAAGTAGACATACAAACACTTAACAGCTATACACACAAATACATTCTAATACATGGTTAGACACACAAAGAAATACATGGACAAACCCATGAGAAAAACTGCAAATAGACACATGCAGACCAACATGTAGTCAGATACAAACATGGACATACACAGATAGATATGCACGGATCCATGTGGCCAAATGCACAGAGGCACAGATGGAAGCACGATACACAGGCACTTATAGTCAGATATACACAGGCAAATAAACACCAATACACATAGCCACACAAGCACCGAGATACATACAGACATGCAATTGTACATACACATATATGTACAGACAGAACCGAAGTCAGATACAGTCAGATAGAAACGTTTTCAAATGCATATAGGTAAATATGCAATCTGGCAGACATAGACACCCAGACAGACAAAATCAGACAAACATGTAGACAGACATGCAATAGGAGAGCTAAGCAGTCAGATCCATATAGGAAGACATGAAGATTGAGCTCCCCTTTAACCTCTGTACCCCAAGCACACACACACACACACACACACACACACACACACACACGTGAAAGCGATTGATTTCTCTGTGAACTTTGGGAGGGCCCTGTGGTTCAGGTTAACTTCTACTGATTTGTTAGTGGGAGGGAAGAAACCTTGTGCCCTTTGTTTTGGGGAGGAGAAGCCAGAGAGAACTGGTGATTAAATGGGAATGTGGAGCGAGAAGGAGTCTCGGATGCGAGAAGAGTCCAACGAGCTCAATCCAGCTCTCGGACACACACCTCTATCCAATCTCGGGAGAGGATGACTATTCCCCTCTGGAGCCATGCGTTACTCAGGCCCAGTCTGAAGAGAATCCGGATGTCCAATGTGGATTCAGAGAAGTTTAAAGAGGAGCTCAAGAAGTTTATTACCCAGTCCCCCATTACTCCCCCAGCCCCCCTGGTGGGGAGGGTGATGTTTCTTCTGCCCACATATCTTTCTCCCTCATGCAATTTTCAAATTGTCCTTGTAAATAAATTCCAGGGAACACCCTCGGGCGATTTGGAGGGCGTATGGCAGAATGTGAGGAGAAGGAGGGAAGGAAGGAAGTGGCTGCTAAGACAAGGGCAGAAGGGGCATCTTGCATTCGACTCCTGCTCTCGGTTTCTTCCACCTTATTTTAGAGCTGTAACACTCACCTGCAATGTTGTGACAACCTCTTGATTGTTTCCCCTGCCTCAAGTTTCTCACCAATCCAGTCCATCCTACTCACTGCTGCCGAAGTGATTTTTCTTTCTTTTTTATTTATTTATTTTTTTTATGAGGCAGTTGGGGTTAAGTGACTTACCCAGGGTCACACAGCTAGTAAGTGTCAAGTGTCTGAGTCCAGATTTGAGCTTAGGTCCTCCTGACTTCAAGGCTGGAGCTCTATCTACTGCACCACCCAGCTGCCCCTTGAAGTGATTTTTCTTAACACAGATCTAACGATGTCACTCTCTTACTCAATAAACTTCTTTGGCTCCCTATTGCCTCTTGGATCCAATAGAAATTCCTCTGTTTAGTGTCTTACGGTTCAAACTTGACCTATCTTTCCAGCCTCATTAAGCACACTCTGAAATGCAGCCTTGTTGGCCTTCTCTCTTTTCATCTCCATATCTTTGCAAGGCCCATGCCTGTAATACACTCCCTGCTCACCTCTGCCCCCTAGAATCCTTCTTTTCTAGACTCTAAGCACCATCTTCATGGAGCCTTTCCTGATCCCCACCAATTGATAGCACCCCCTCCAAACTCTCTTGTATTGAAATACATGTCTTCTGCATTGAAATATAAGCTTCTTCACAATAATACCTAGGACTTATATAGTGCTTTCTATGTGCCAGGCAATATGATAAGCCCTTTACAAATATCTCATTTGATCCTTGCAACAGAAGCTGAGGTAAACAGAGGTTACGTGACTCTCCCAGGGTCTCACAGCTAGGAAGTGTCTGAGGTGGAGTGTGAACTCAGGTTTTCCTGACTCCAGCCCAGTACTCTACCCAGCACTGTGCCGCCTAGCTGCCTCTGATTGAGTAGGGGTTGCTTATTTCATTGCTCTTGTATCCTCAATGCCTAGCCTAGGGCCTGGCATATAGTAGGCACTTAAAAATGCTTGTTGATTAATTGATCTTTGAGCCCGGGAAGCCAGGCAGGCTCAGTGGACAGGAAGGTCCAGAGGGCCTTAAGATGGGGTCAGATATCAAAGAAGATTTACAACAAAGTGAAAGGAGAAACTGAGGGCAAAGGTTTTCTGTATCAGCTGTTTGCTAGGTTCAGGAGAGACAACCCAAGAAAGTAGACAGGGCATCTAAGAGCTAGGAAAAAATAATAACAACTGGCATTTATATAGTGCTTACTATATGCCAGGCATTTTACAAATGTTATCTCATTTGACCCTCACAAGGCAGGTGCTGTTACAGGAAACTGAGGGAGGCAGAGGTTTAAGTGACTTGCCCAGCATCATACACCCTGTAAGTCTGAGGTCTTAACTCAGGTCTTCATGACTCCAGGCCCAGCACTCGATCCATTCTGTCACTGAGCTGCCTATCCACCCCCACCTCCCCCCACTCAAACACAGGCACTCATTCTCACAGAAACAGATGCGTGCATATATCCACGCACACATAAACACACACATATACACAGAAGGACAAAGACACAGAACCTAGGCCTGTGACTCATTCCCACACGGAGATCCACAGACACATTACAGAGCATCACATAGATGACTCACGCTTGCATAGTGGTTGTTGCAGTCTGGAAACTGAAGAGATTCTCCTTGGGGAACCAGGTGCGGACAGGGACCTCATCTGGAGAAGACAAGAGGATGCAGAAGGGTGATGGCCTGAATAAGGTGGATTTTTAGACAGAGCCAACAGACTGAATTGTTTTTCTTGGCTATACTTGTTCATTCAAGTAAAGGCTTCTATTTGGGGGGGGGTATGCGAGTGGGTGTGTGAGTGGCGATTGAAAGATTTTAAAAAGCCCGAGGTTCCAAGACAACCTCCAACTGATGAAGAAGGCTGACTTGATAAGGTGGGGATACCTCTTCTTGTGGGGTCTCATGGGTAGAAGCCCTTTACCCAGGCTTCCAGTATTTTTCTATAGTAATGAGAGCCAGAGACCTTGGGCTGGCCTCCCATCCCCACTGAGTTGTCCACCGTTAGACTTCTAGGTCTCAAGAGTATAGCCAGAGGATTCTTCCCCTCCCCAGCCAGGGAGCCCAGCCCTGGGCCCTGATGCCCATCCTTCCTATGTGGCTAAGTACATCCTAGGATTGAGAGCTGGTAATGGACCTTAGAGATCACCTAGTTCAGCCCCTTACTTGAACAGGCCTAGAGAGAAGTAACTTGCCTCAAGTCAAAAGCTGGTGAAGTGGAAGAGCTGGATTTTATTTTTTATTTTTTTAATTTTTAGGCAATTGGGGTTAAGTGACTTGCCCAGGGTCACACAGCTAGTGTCAAGTGTTTGGTCTGAGGCTGGATTTGAACTCAGGTCCTCCTGACTTCAAGGCCAGTGCTCTATTCACTGACTGCCCCACCTAGCTGCCCCGAAGAGCTGGATTTTAAATCCAGGTTGCATAGTCGTAGTTTTGGAGTTGGAAGGGATTGCTGTAAACATTTAAATCCATCCATACTATAAGACAAGTCCAAAAGATGGAAAATGCTATCCACATCCAGAGAAAGAACTGATGGAGTCTGAATGTAGCTCAAAGCATACTATTTTTACTTTCTTTATTTTTTTTTCATGATTTTCTCCTTTTGTTCTGTTTCTTCTTTCACAACATGACTAATATGGAAATATGTTTTACATGATTGCACATATATAACCTACATTTAATTGCTAACTGTCTTAGGGAGGGAGAAAATTTGGAACTCAAAATTGCTTGTCTACTCCCTACACCATGCTCCCCCACCCTGCCCTATTGCTGCCCCTTTGCCAGGCTGTGAAAAAAAATGAATGTTAAAAATTGTCTTTACATTTAATTGGAAAAAATATTATTTTAAAGAGAAAAAATAAATATTCATACCTAAAAATAATTCTCCTTACAACACACCAACAAATGGAAATGGTAGTCTTTTCCAGGAGATCTGGAGTGATGGGGGACCCATCACGTTTGAGATAGCTGACATCACTTTTAAGTTGCTTTGTTAGGGAGCCTTTCCTTACATCAAGTCCAAACTTGTCCCTCCCACCCATCCTTCTTAGTTCTGCCCCCTTAGAGTCAATCAGAATTCCTGCCAAGGGAGAAACATCCCTCTGATAGGGGACAGCCATTGAAGATAGCTCTCATGCCTCCTACCAGTTCTTCTCTTCCCTTGATTAGATGTGCCCAGTTCCTTCAAATGATTCTCATATGGCATGAATTCAGGGTCTTTTTGCCCTCCTGACTGCCCTGCTCTTGCTGATCTTCAGTTAAACATGCCCTTCCTAAAATGGGACAACCCAAAGGAGTACACAATGCTACAACAGATGTGGACTGACCAGGACACAGCACAGTGGAAAGATCACCTCCTCACTCTGGACACTAGGCCTCTCTAAATTAGACCCAGGATCAAAGCTTTCTTGGCTGCTGGATGCACTGTTAACTTGAGGTTTGTGATCCATTAGAACCCCCAGCTTTTTCAGATGAACTGCTCTTTAGCCACATCTACCACCTCTTGTGCCTGTCTACTACACCCTACACCATGCTCCCCAACCCCTTTCTACTGCTGCCCCTTTGCCAGGCTGTGAGCTCCCTAAGATGCCTGCCCTCTCCGTCCTCCAGCTCCCCTAAGGCAGGAACTGAAGGAGCTCCTTCTTTCTGATGACACAAAGCTGGGAGGAAGAATTAATGCACTGAGTGACAGAGCCTAGATCCAAAAGGATTCCAGTGGACTAGAAAAGCATTGAGCTAAATCTAGTAAGATGGAATTCAATAGGCATAAAGGGAAAGCCTTGTACTTGAATTTAAAAAAATTTAAAAATGAACCCCCTCCCTCCAAAAAAGCCCACCTCCCCTGGATAAGAAGATGGAAGCAGAAGTTAGACGGAATTTGTTCTGAAAATGATCTCGGGGTTTTAGTCTGCAAGCTCATTATGAGTCAGCAGGGTGATGGAGAAGAAGCCATAATGGGATCCTGGACTGTACTGAAGGGCACAGCTGCCAGGAGCAGGGAGGGGACACTTGTACTGGACTTTGACCCTGGCAGACCTCATCTGCAGTCTTGTAGTTCTAGGGACCAAGTGTTGAGGAAGGACGTTGTTAAGCTGGAAAGTGTCCTGAGGAGAGTGACCAGGATGGGGAAAAGCTTTGAGTCCGTGTCAGGTGAGGATTGGTGGAAAGGAGTGGGATCGGTAGCCTGGAGAAGAGAAGACTCGGGGGGGGGGGCATGACACCAGTCTGCAAGGGTCGGAAGGGCTGCCATGTGGAGGAGGGGTTACATTTCTTCTAGTTGGCCCCAGAGGGTAAGACCAGGATCAGTCAAAAGGGGTCTAATTTAGACTCAATGGCGAGAAAACCTTAGTAACGATTGGGCTGTCCAGAAGTGGAATGGGAAGCCTGGAGAGGAGGTGGGTTCTCCTTGGAGGACTTTAAGCAGAGGATGGATGGACCATTTGTCAAGTGTGTTACAGTGAGGATTCCTTCAGGCATCTGGGTGGGACTAGATGGCCATTGAGGGCCCTTTCAACCCTGATGTTCTCTGATTTTGATCCTGCCTCCTCCCAACTATGTGCTCTCTGGGAGCCTGGAGCCTAAGGAAGGCACTGGCCATCTGGTAGGCATGAGGGAGGATCTGTAATGACTTACTGATGAACTGAGGGACAATGGAGATATCAGCTCCTCCCTTCCAGTTCACAAGATGACACCCCAAAGGAACCAGGCTGGGAGGAAGGCCAGCACGGGATACAGAGTCAAAACTCACCAGACACACGGTCGATGCTGTGCATCCGCTCCAGCTTCTTGCGGCGGCCTGAGGGCTCAGGGGCCTGGTGCTGGTCCAGCTCGAAAGACTGCTGGGAGGGGGCTGGGGCCAGCTGGGAGCAGCCGGGACACTCCTTGGAGCCCTGGCGGCTGCCAGCCCAGCTTTTGCAGGGCCGGCTGACGCTCTCGCTGCTGCCCGAGCCCTGCAGGGGTTGGCTCTGATGGTGCTCGTCCCGATGCCGGCCCTTCATGACTGACAGCTCTATGCCCTCTGCCTCGGGGTCAGACAGCAGGGGTGGCTCCCCAGAGATAGTGTATACCCTGGGCTTAGGGCCCTCGCTCGCTGCCTTCTCACCTGCTGCCTCCTCCAAGAAAGCCCCCTCATAGCGGCCATCGGAGATGAGGGAGAGGCGGCGTTTGTTCTGGGAGGCAGGCTGCATCTCGGGGGACTCGTCCTGGCCAGCGAAGGCATCAGCCAACAGGTGATCTGAAAGAGAGGCACCATGGGGGTGGAGCAGGGAGGGCCGGGCTTAGGTAGGTAAGAGCACCAGGGAGAGTCAGGGCAGACGCTAGCTTGGAAAGCCACCACGGCCTTCATGTATCACCTGACCCAGCCCCCTGCCTCGAACCAGTGACTACCATAGACCAAACAGATCTCTGCCTTAAACATAGGAGACTCCATGGCCTGCGTCCTAACATCTGGCCATGATTGGTTATAGAAGTAAGGTGTCATTTCTAACCTCTAGATCAAGGGTTCTTAACCATTTTTGTGTTGTAAACTGCCTTTGGCAGCCTAGTGAAGCCTATGCGATCCTTTTCAGAACAGTGCATTTAAATGCGTAAAATAAAAAATACAGAAGATTACAAAGGAAACCAGTTGTATTGAAATACAATTATCAAAATACACATTTAAAAAAAAAACCAAGAAACAAGTTCAGAGATCCCAAGTTAAGAATCCTTGCTCTAAGGGCAGCTAGGTGGTGCAGTGGATAGAGCACCAGCCCTGAAGTCAGGACAACCTGAGTTCAAATCTGGCCTCAGACCAAACACTTGACACTTACTATCTGTGTGACCCTGGGCAAGTCACTTAAACCCAATTGCCTAAAATTAATTAATTAATTAAATAAAAGAAAGAAAGAACTCTTGCTCTAAACCTTGAGTTGATATAATTTTTCCCTATGCTGGGGTCAGATTCCTTCAATCTCCACAGTCCCCTTCCCCAGCCACACAAAATCTGTTTGGATGTTTACAGTTACAGAGAGCCCCAATCTATCTAGAACCAACAACTCAGCAGCCTCCCTTGTCTGAAACCTGGCTGAGAACCAGAAAGGAGGCAAAAAGGGAATCTGAGCAAATCTTCCAAGGTGCATGGAGCGATGTGCATATATTTTCCTCCTAAGAGAGCCTATTTACTCTTACTTTACATACAGTTCTAATACAGTTAATGTCTTTCCCAAACCATATTAGAAATAGCAAATTAGAAAGTGGGTAAGGGACCACTAAAAGCAGATACATTAATTCCACTGAGATATGAAAGCTGAAAGCAAGCAGCTTGATATGCAATGGAAGAAACAAAAAAATCATTAAAAGCAGAAATGAGAATTCAGAAAATGGTGTCCTTCTCTATATGCCTCCGGAGTTCCTGAAGGCATCAATATATCACAGCCAAGGACAACAAGGTGTCCAGAGAAGGTTACATTCTTGTTGGAGGAGGCAGGGATGTGTAAAGGGTATTGGAGACTAGCTTTCATCTAAAATGGTGAAAGAATGATAATGTTTGGGTGTTCATAGCAACAAATAAATTTCCAGCATTGTGAATTAGTCTTTGACCCATTAATTGGAGGTAGAGGGAAAGAGGGGTGGAGTGCAGAAAGTTCTGAACAACCTGGGTTTGGTTCTATGTGCTTCAGACAAGGGGAGGGCTCCAAATTAGGATGTTCACCCAAAGTGAGAGTGTGTCTGCCTTATAATGTGGTCCCCAGCCAAAAGTGGACATATGAGTGAGGAGAGATATGACAAGTTCCCTCAGACAAACCTCTCACCCTACTGGAACATCATCTGAGGAAAGAAAAAGAGTTTTGGGAGGTGTTAGCCCCCTGGGATCTCCTCCCTCCATTTCCTCTCCCATATAATAGTAATAAGATAGATCCTTAAATTTTGAATTAGAACCATGTCTTGTGGGCAGGTGTTTGTTGGCTGGGAGCCCAGAACCATGTTAGTCTATACACACACACACACACACATCCCATAGAACACATGCACCCACTCTCTAGCCCTAGCCCTCTAGCCCTCTCTCAGCTTCTCTTCTTTCCCTCATAGAGAAGGTAGAAAGATAGAAGCATCATTGCATGTATTATGCCTGATTTTATCCTTTTGTGTATGGTAGGTCTGTGTGTTGGTTATTATGTTTGTGTCTGTGGGGTTGCACAAGAAGTATCTATCAGATGGCAGGCGTGTGTGTGTGTATGTGTGTGTGTGTGTGTGTGTGTGTGAGGGGCTGGAGAACAGTAAGAGGAAGCAGGAACAGGCAGAGCCCCACCTCCCACCCCCATACTCACCCTGTCTCCCTGGTTCCCCTGTGCTCTCTCTTCCTGCACTACAGATGTCTCCTCAGCTTCTTGGCCCAGCTGCCCCGCCCAAAGCCTGGTCCCTAGAGGCAGTAGTGCCAACCCTGTGGGGGTGCCAGGAGGCTCGTTGTCATGCCAACGCCCCAAGAGTATGGGCACCATGGCGATTGAGCCTCTGAGTCCCCCTCCCAATGCAGCTTTTCCCAAGGGGCCACTAGGAATCCAGGCCCCACCTTGAACCTCCTGCCTTGGTCCTCAGCCTCCTTCCATCCCCAGGCTCTAGACCTTGCCATACAAATCTGAGCCATTGAATAAGGAAGGACAGAGTAACATATATCGCCCTCCCAAGAGGTGTAGGTGCACATATGAGAATATTCACAGAGATGTGACCCCACAAGAGCACATAGGAAGAAAGCTGTGGCAGGGATTATGTATGTACATCCCTACACAAACACACACAAACACACACACACACACACACACACATACTACGTGGCACACATATCCATATCCTGGGGAGGTTGATGTCAAGTAAGGAGGCAGGTATAGTATGGAGTCTAGGAAAGCCTGCCAGGAACTGGGCTCCCTCCTGAACAGTACCAGCATTTGCTAAGGTGAAGGGGACTTGAATGAGGAGCTCTGGGGCTCCTTAACCATTTCTTATGCAAAGCCCCTTGGTATTTTGGAGCCTATCCTGGGACATCTCTCTACTGCTTTCTAATACTGTCCCACACCTCCACCCTGGCTCTTCTGCCACCTGGGGACTTACCTGAGCCGTTCCGATTCTCAGGGTGACTTTGTGACAGATACTCCCCAAACGCTCGGGCTGCTCTGGAGGGTAGGAGGCACCAGTAGAAGAAGGCAGAGCACAGGAGAAGGACCAAGGTCAGAAATGGACTCCTCAGGTCCAAGATCTCCCCCACACTCCCTGAGAGCCTATATTCCTCCCTCACATTGAACACAGCACAGGTAGCTCCTCCAAGGTCAAGCCTCCCAAATCCACTCATGAACAAAGTCCAGTGCTGGTACCCTGGACCACTCTTTTCAAATCCAGTCTCCCTTCAGCCCTTGTGTGTCTAGAATCACAGATTTGTAGTTGGAAGGGGAACTTAAGAAGTAATCTAGTCCAACCCTCTCGTGACATTGAGAAAGCTGAAGACTAGATTGGTTAGGTGACTTGCCTAAGGTCACACATGTAATAAGAGACAGAACTGAGATTCAAACTCAGGTCCTATATGACTCCAAGTTCAACTGTGTCATGCTTCCTCCTCCAAGATATACATAAGGGTATATTAAGGGATACTCAGCTGATGTGTGACCTGGCTGTACAAATCAAAGCTGTTAGTACTGCAGTTGAGATGTCCAGTGAGCTACCAAGCAGGCCACCAGGGGGCAGCACCAGCATTGGCTAGGGATAGGCACAGGAGGGACACAGACCCCCTTTCATCTCAGAGACCTTATTTCGGATATGCCAACCTCCACCATGGTACCTGGTGGGAGGATAGGGCAGGGAGGGAATGTTCATAGCTTTTGTTGGCCGAGTTAGCAGTCCACTTGAACCCTGCCCATCTTCATTTGTGCCCCGCCCCCCCAAACTTTCATCCCATCTGCTTCCCACAGAAAACGACACAGGGTCAGGTAGGATTTGGACTTCCTTCAGTGAAGTTTCATCAGGGAACTAATTAAAACTAACCCCTGGAAAAACATGAAGGTGAAGCTCAGAGGCGGCAGTACCAACACATACAGGTTTCCCTGAAAACTTCCTCTGAGGATACTGAAAGGCAATAGAAAGGATGGTTTCTCTTAGGTCTGCTGCTTGATTTTTTTCCCCAACTAGCCTGGACCGAATACCTCGCTTTATCCATATAAATGTGAGTTGCTATTAATTATAATTTATTGTTGCTGTTATTCTGGAGAGCTAGCCTCAAAGCCAGGAAAGCTTGGGTTCAAGTTCTGCCTTTGACACATACTGGCTGTGTTACCCTGGGCAAGCCACTTAACCTCTCAGTGTTCTAGAGTAATTCTCTAAGACTAATTTGCAGAAAAGGTGCTGATCTCTAGGAGACAGTTTCCTCATCTGGGAATTCCCAAAATCAGTGAAATCACCCACGTAGGCCCTATTCCTTATTCTAGTCAACTCTGTCTCAGATTAAGCTCAGAGGCACCAAGACTGGATGTTACTGGACACTAGTCAAGGGTTAGAGCTAACCAGAGGAGCTGGACATTGGCTTAAGGGGTTCTGGATATTGGGGACAACAAGAAACTGGAAATCTAGTATACAGCATTAGGACAATGGAGGGTAGGCTAGCATTGCTGCCCTCACATTTCAAGGAAGTAAAGGAGCACTATAGGAGATGAGATGTTTAGCCCCTGTGCTTATCAAATTCCTTCACAGCTTTTTTAGACAAGCCTGTACTGTGTCTGCCTAGAGCCCACTCATGCAAGGGAGCCCACCCTCAGAGAGTGAAACACAAGGAGGGAAAGGGAGAGAGGAATGGAGGTGGCAAAATATATATGGGAAAGACAAAACGAATTGGAATGGAGGGAAACAGGGAAAAACCTAAGGAAAGAGAGATTCAGAGGCATCGATACCACCAAGAATACAAAGATAGAGGGAGGCGGAGAGATAGAGGCATGGAAATAGGAGTCAAAGTCACAGAGACACAGGTAGAGGCACAGAAAGATGAGTAGGGGAGGGAAAATGAGCTGAGGTCTAGGCAGGTACTTTTTTTTTTTTTCTTCAGCCAAGGGGCTCTCGGCAATTCTATTGTCCTCAATCCAGGATACATTTGAGATCATCTGGGCTGTCTGTCTGAAGTCATCCTGTGACAATCTAAACCCCCCCCCCAGCAGTCTATCCATTCCTGTATCTGGAGAGACTAAAAAACTCACCAGGCTCTACCTCCGTCGAATGATGGCAATTACCGATCCCTACTATGAGGGCAGCTTGAAGGGTTGTGGTCAATGTCTTTCTTATACCCTTCCACCCCCAGATATTGCTCCTGTCCCTGGGAGTAATAACAAACCTGCCTTTTTGTCCTTTCCTGATTCCCTGGAATCCTAGCCTCCCAGGAGTGGAAGACACTCTGTTCATGGCACTGATTTTATTATAGTCATGGAAACCAAGACACAGATAGTTTTGTCCAAGGTCACATGGTAAGTTGGTTGCTGAAGTTGGCCCTAGGAATCAGACATCCTGGCTCATTACCCCTGAGGAGCACTATTTGTGAGAAAAAGCTTTGTGAACCTTAAGGTCCTATAGAATTGTGTTGTTATTATCGTAGGCTATCAGATTCCATAGATCTCGACGGGACTCTAAGCTGTCGGTCCCCAGTCATCTCTCTATCAGCTGGCAGGCCCACATGGCCAGGGAAAACCCTGCTCAGCTGGGCTCCTGAGGAACTCATTCCCTAAATGCTAAGCACCAGCGGAGAGCTAGGGGCTCCAGAGGTCATCCGGCCCATTCCCCTGCCTCTGCACCCAGTTGGGCCCCAGAGATAGATGGGGATTTCCTTTGTGGGCCCATCCGAGCCTCCCTGGGAAGGTTACTGGTCCCCACCCCCGCCCCCAGCACTGGACAGCTCCCTGGCCGTAGGCAGGTCTGCAGGACAGCTGCCTGGACTCCGGAAGGAGGGACGGCTGCTTTGCAAAGGACGCCCAGGACTGCGGGCGAAGTCAGCCAGCCCCAAGGAGGGATGGGTGGTCGCGGGGTTCGTGCGCCTCTCCTCCGCCCCAGCCCCTCACTCACTCACCGCACTTTGGCCGCCACCGAGGACATGGCCTCACTCCTCAGCGCCTTCCTCTTGGAGGCAGCTGCGCCCATATTCGAGGCCGGGGGCAGTGGGGAGGGCGCGGCATCCCCCCAGCCTGGGGCGCCGCGCGAGCCGGGCCGGGGGCGAGGGGCCTCCGCTTACTGGGCTCAGCGCTCCGAGAGATCCGCGAGCCCGCCTGGGCAGCCCCGGACGTGGTCCCGCATGATCCCGGGCCGGCCTCCCCCCGCCCCCGGCTTCGCTCACCGCCCGTGGCTCTCGCGGCCAGCGGCAGCCCCCGCAAGCCCGGGCCCGAGGTGCGCGGTCCCCGGCCCGGCTCGCCCGCCCGCCTCAGCCGCTGCAGCAGCTGGTGGGGAGTGCGTGGGTCCGCGGGCACTCGCTATATGGGTCTGGACAGCTCCGCCCCCCCGCGCCTGACGTCACGAAGGCACGAGGCGTGGGGCGGGGGACACAACTTGAGGGAGGGGGTACGGCAGAAGATTGAGTCGGAGGAGAGTCAAGAGGGAGAGGGGAAGGAAGGCAAAAAATGAGGACAGAAGGAGGGGACAGAAGTGGAGACAGAGAACTGAGGCTGGGGGAGTCTGTGGGGGTAGGGGCGGGGATCTGAGAGTGCAGGTTAGCAGAAAGCGCTAGAAACCTTGGTTCGAATTCCCCTGTCACTATGTGTGACCTTGGGCCAGTCGCTTTACTTCTTTGGGCCTCAGTTTCCTCATCTGTAAAATGAAGAGGTTGGACTGGATTATGCCTAAAATAATCCAGATCCCAGCTCTAAATCCTCTGGATATGCAGGACTGGAGGCAAACCCGGAGATGGGAAGGGGGAGCTGAGGAAAGAGGGAGAGGGAATAAGATGGGGTATTGGGGATATCGCAACTGGTAAGATAGGGATTTGGAAGGGAAGACAGAGAAGTTGGGAAGTGATGGAGAATGGTGAGGGCAGAGGGAAGAAAGTAGGAGAGGAGGAAGGAATAAGGTGAAAAGGAAGGAAAGAAGGGAGAGGGTCCAGGTCAGAAAGCCCCTAGAATTCAGAACTGGAAGGGACATTTGAAATTATTTAGTTGTATTCCCTTATTTTACTGGAAGAACTGGAGACATCAAGAGGGGTAATGATTTGCTCAAGGTCACCCAGTGAGCCAGCAGGAGAGGTGAGGCTGGGCCCAAACCACTTCACGGCATTCCATGGCCTCCCACTTCAGCTAGCAGTGGGTAAACTCCTTGAAGGTGGTTACTGTTTCATTTTTTGTCTTTCCACTTATCAGCATTTTGCACATAGAAGATATCTGACATGTGTTGAATCAGATTGAGTCTCTTGAATGTTAAAGCATATCCATTTGTGATTTTATAAACCAAAGATTATGGGACGATATCCATTTTACAAAAAGGTGCTTCACTTTATGGTTTATCACAGAGTTCTCAAACTCAAACAGAAATGGGGCCACTAATCCATATATACGATCCCTATGGGCCACCTATTGACTTGGTTTAAAATATAAATGTTATGTTATCTAGGTATTATTGCATTTTTATTTTTGTTAAATATTGCCCAGTTACATTTTAATCTAGTTTGGGCTGTATTGGAGGATTAGTGGACCCCTGTATCAGACCCCTCTTATTTAAGGAATAAATTGTATTGTGGGAAGCAAGGTACACCTGTACTCAGGTGAGGAAAAGGGGGAGAGTTGAAGGTTGCACTGGAGTGGGTTGGGGGAGGATGAGCCAATTTCCTAATCCTTTACTACACACATAATTGAGTTCAATCGGCAACTGAATAACCACCTGCCCTTTGGGAAAGAGTGAAGGTGTAGAGAGGCAGAAACTCAGAACAAAGACTAGAGGACTGAGGAAGTGTAGACATTCTTCCCTGGGAGTCCCCAGGGCATCATAACATATGGTGTATATATATGTGTGTGGGCGTCCATGGCTAGTTATGTGCTACTCCTCGCCTCTCCCACTCCAGCATCTTTAGATCATAGAATTGGGGACAAGGCTTGGTGGTGAGGGCAGTAAGCCTGTTTGAGCAGGAATCAAATCTAGCTTTTGGTTTGTGGGAGGTCCAAGGAATCATTCCCCCTTTCCCCTCCACTGCCTTTTGGGATTGCTACTCTGTGCCATAAACAACTGGCTGCAGCTACAGCATGCAGGGCCTGGGAAAAGGACAAGCAGCCTCTGCTTCTTGGCCACAGTTATTTTCTGTACCCTCGTCTCCAAGCCTAGGGTAAAGGCAGAGGAGTGAAGATCAGGTTCAGGGTATCCACTGTTAAGAGCACCAATTAGGGAGGATGGAGTTGGGTCCAGTCACTCCCCTGGGGGATAGTGGATCAGAAGCATCTCTATTCTTGGGGGAATTCTCCAGTCACTCCGGAAGAGGCTCTAAGACCAGATGATCTGGGGGACAGGAACAATCCCATCTCACTCATCCTAGACCCTCACTATGGTGGGTCCAAAAAGGGACAGAACAGCCAGTGAATGTTACATATATATTTATTTATAAACAATATTGTATGCTGCCTTTTCAGTTTCCTACATCCTTCCATCCCCAGCCTCAAACTTGTCCACCTCTGAGAGGAAAAAGGTTGCTTCTCATTTTGAGCTGGGACAGAGGAATCTCTTCCCCAGAGACCTTTCAGAGGCCACAGATTGAGGATTGGGAGCTAGGACCCTGGGAAGTGAGCATAAAGTAGAATCTGTCATTCTGATGGTATCTTCCAACTTTCTATATTTTTTAGAGGCTTGTCCTGGGCCTTAGGGTTGGGGGTAATCCTAGATGCCTCTTGAATGAAGGACTGGCTTTCAGGGCCCAGTCCTAGTCCTTTGGCTCATCCTTTTTGGGTTGTTCTTTTGTGGTTGATCAAGGACATGAAAACAGAATAAATACATTGGATACTTAGTCCTAGAAGGGAGAAGTGGAGAATCTGGCTTGGTCACTGTACCTGTATCTTATCCCAATCCCACGAGGAGAGGATCAGAATGGGAAGATGGAATAAGTCTTAAATGGCGCAGTTCTCTCTCACCAGGGTCCTGAGCCTCACCCTGGCTTAGTCTAGGTGGGTGACCCAGACCACAACAAGCACTTGAGGGTAAGTGAAGGCAGCCACACCACCTAATGGCTCTCCTAGAGGAAGACCCTTGATAGAAGCAATCGACCTGTCTGAGAATCTCCTGTACTCCTTCACCCAGGAACTTTTCTCCCACAGTGACCTGAACACTAAAGGCAAAGAATTGTTTGAAGTCTTCTAATCGCTTTAAACCCTGCCTAACCCCAGACTCCAAGGTTTCCGAAGTTTTCTCCCTAGATCAATGTTCCTGTGTGGCTTCTCTAAGAGGATCAATGAAGAAGCACTTCAAGGGCAGTCAGAACTACATAAAACCACAGTAACCCATGGACCTCCATTCCCTTCCTCACTTTCCCTCATTCCCTACCCCACCCCCAACCCTGGAGGATAGCATCACACAGCTGGTCAATGATTTGGTTGGGAGGTATACAGGAAGAGGTCAAATGTGTCCATCCCTCCCACAGATGCCCAAGATGGCTTCAGGAGAAGTGACAGTGGCTTCACTCCAGCAGCACCAAACATCAAGGTCTCACCCTCCCAACAGATAAGCCTCATGGCCCCTTGTAGGGGAGTAGGGCTCTTAGGAATCTATGTCTGAGAGGGTAGAAAAGGAACTGGATAAGCGATGGGAGCTCATCTTGGAGGACCGGTTGTATTTCTGGATCAAGGCCTCTTCTTCCTAGATGCAAAACATGGCCTGGACTGTCAGTACAAAGGAGCACACAGTCTTCTTGACTGGCTCAGAGCCTGCTATATCTCAACAGAAACACATACTTTGAAATATTGTGTCTTCTTCCCAGAAGAAGCCTAGAAGTTTAGGAAGTCTCCCTTAAGCAGGGAGCAACTTGGGGGCATCTATTGAGGTGGAGGATATCACTTTAGCACCATAGCTCAGGAAATAACTGGGCCAGGAATACATGGGAAATATTCATTGCTATATTCCTTGTAGGGCATATCATTAGTAAGCAACATACATTAAAGGGAGATAGCTTACCCCAAGCCCAGTGGTACTGATCCTGAGTAAGTCAGGCTTGGGGACCAGGAAGGTCTAGATTCTAGGGCAGAAAGGAAACAAATGGCCTTCTGTGATTATCTCTGTATCCAGGACACAGATGGGGTTAGTGCTGTAATCCTAGAAGAGTTGGCAGGCCCTTCCCCCCACCTCCACCCTGTGGGGCTTCTGCCTTATCTGCCTGAAAGTGTTCAAGGATTACTTATCTATGCTCCGAGGGACCAGAGAGGGGAGAGGGGTGTCAGTCTTACTGAGTCTGAGTTCTCTTCATGCACAACATCCCTGTGAACATTTTGTCTTGCAGTGCTCTTGAAGTTGACATATTCATCCCTAGGGAAGTCTAGGATCTCCTCTTCATACTCAGTCTGGTAGTCAGATTCATCTAGCAGATAAATGGAAATATCCTGTTGTGTCCAATGCCCAGGGAGAGTGGGCAAAAAGATCAGCAGAAGCAGCAGGGCTGGGTTTAGGGGGCACCTCACAGGGCTTCTTGGGTCACTGAACCTCAGAGGCAGAAAGGGGCTCCGAGCTTATTGAGCCCAATCATTACCCAGACAAGGCTCAACAATCTCTCAAGGTGCCCATGCCTCTTCTGGACAGCTCTATTACTTAGGAAGCTTCTTGCATATTCCAGCCCTTCGACTCCTTTGTTCTCTCAAATCTTTTCAAGGCTAGACATCCTTAGCTCCTTTGATTACTCTTCAACTGTCACGTTCTCCTCGCTTCACCAGCCCAGTTTCTCTCCCGGGACCCTTTTCTAAAACGTGGCGCCCAGAATGAACGCATCACTGGAGATGCAGCCTGGCCGGTCAGAAGCGCCTCCCCATCTTGGAAACCGTGTCTCTCAGAGTCACTGTTTAGTTCGCTTTTGTCACAGGTGACTCATATTTAGCTTCCAGCCCACTGAAACCCCTCAGTCTGGCTGCGGAAGAAAAGTGGGAGAGGACATGATTTGGGAGAATCAGAAAGCCCTAATCTCACATCCAGAAACTAACTGCTTTAAAGCCCATTATCCTTTCTCTTTTCAGTGAATAGGTGAGCAATGGTATGAACACTCAGTAAATATTCCTGATTTACTAACCTTCCCAAGGGGCTTCCCAGACCGACATGAGCATTAAGGGTGCCAGACTGCATTAAGGAGTTCATGGTCAGTCCAAACAAAAATCTCATTTAGAGTCAGTTATTCCTTTTAACTGCAAGCATATGGGTCAGATATTCTCTGGGCAAGGGAAGTGAGACATCCTCCTATGTTAGACATTCAGCACTCTCCCATTAGATTAATGAAGGGACCAAAAATATGTCCCCCCCAAACACTTCTGGTGATTTACCTAGGAAGAGAATCCAGTTGTACCCTCTAAGTCTTAGCTTGGCTTTTACAGTTCCAGGGTCTCACATGTTCCTGTGAGCTGAAGCCCTGATCTATCTTTCACCTTAGGATGGAAATTCCCCCTTTATTCTGTGTTAGATGCCGGTCCATCCAGGGAAAGACAAATGCAACTGATGAGGATTTAATAAGAACAGAAGCGGGCTGTGGGCGGGATGTATCATTTCTGCCATTCACATGGGGACAGTTGTCATAATGCCACTTTATTCATTCGTTCATTGCTTGGAAGCAAGTTGCACTAAGCCCTTAAGCAGAAGGGTGAGGCCTGTTCTTTAAAACAGCAATAGCTATGGCCACGGCCTCGGTCAAGGCGAGGATCCCTCCCTATGGGGGTCTGGAGAACACTATGAAGTTCCCCTTTTTTTTCTGTCAGTTCTAATGAACAAGTCTACATTCTTTCATTTAGTCATCCACACAATCCCGACCTGCCCATCTCGTGAGGCCAATGAGAACAAATGACGTAACACATCTGAAAGCGTTTTGTAAACTGTAAACTGTTGTGGCATCCAACAATCAGCAAGTAAACACTGAGCCCCTCTAGCACGCCTGGCCCTGTACTACATGTTGTGGGGGACAGCTACATTCACTCATCCAATAAATATCTGTCAAGGGAACATTGTGTGTTCAGAAGAATGGCAATGACTTGGTCACGAGATCACTGGTCTTCTTCAAAGAACTAGGATGGGCTTTAGCTCTTCCGCTGACAGCAACCTATAGATGTGGATTCCTCAGAGCTTCTCCCGAGAAAGCCATGTCAACTCTGTTCTGCCGACAGACCCAGAGGATGTACAGCCCTCTTTCCATAATGGGAACTAAGCAAGGAAGAAGGGAGGGAGATGAAGAGAAAGAGAGGAAGTGGCAGGTAGACAGAGAGAGCCCCCAAAACAGAGAAAGAAAGACTGCCTGGGGTAGGCCCAGAGTGAGCCACTGAAATGGTCAGATAGTGACAACAGGGAGAAAATAATAATAATGGCTCATGCTGGCATTTATATAGTGCCTACTTATGTGTCAGGCACGATGCTGAGCGCTTTACAAATATTACCTTGTTTGATTCTCATAAGAACCTGGAAGGTAGGCACTATTATCCCCATTTTACAGTTGAGGAAATTGAGGCAAACAGAGGCTAAGTGACTTGCCCAGGGTCATGCAGCTAGACATTATCTGAGGCTGCATTTGAACTTAGGTCTTTCTGACTCCAGGCCCAGTGCCCCACTCACTGTGCTAATGAGCTAGAGCTGAAGTAAAATTAGAAACCAGATAAGGAGAGAGAAGAAGAACAGACAAGAGGGAACTTCCAGTGGAAGCATGGTGATAAGAAGTAGGAGACCAGTCATGGGTATGTCCCATACACAAAAATCTGCTTGGCTAGACTGAAACCTTTCAAGGAGGTTCAACACCAGCAGTATCAAAGCACAGACAGTATCATCCTAGTGATCCAACTCGAGGAGGTGGCCTGGGATAACTACTGCCTTTCACAGATAGACGTACAAAGGCTGGGGGTGTAAGGCAGAAAGGAGTTGAGAAGAGAACAGGATCAGGACACATGTTCTCTGTAACCTTGACCTTGAGTCTTGGCTGTGGCTCCCTCTAGAAAACAAGCTAATCCTACCTATAGACTAACTCACCATCAACCGCAGCGGATCTGGCTGGCTCAATGCATGACACAATCTCTGCCAGGTCAGTGAAGGAGGCACTGGGGCAAGTGAGCACCTGAATAAAGAGAGAATTCGTTGAGTTAAACCATCAGGCTGTACAGGCAGAAATAAGGTCAACATGTGAGGTGCTGTCCTTCCTGAGGAAGGATGAGTCTATTTCTTTGACAAGAACAAGGCAGATTGCTTCATTTTCCAACCTTGCTTAAAGGTACCTACTCACACCTTTTTTTTTTGGGGGGGTAGGCAATGGGGTTAAGTGACTTGCCCAGGGTCACACAGCTAGTAAGTGTTACGTATCTGAGGCTGGATTTGAACTCAGGTCCTCCTGACTCCAGGGCTGGTGCTCTTTCCACTAAGCCACCTAGCTGCCCCCTACTCACACATTCTTGACAACTTGTGTAAAGTTCTATTTCAAAGTTTAGAAAACTAAGGCATTAGAAGGTTCTAGACCTGAAGACCAGGTTTTTCCTGTGGAGAAGAGCAAATTGCATTGTTCCCAATACAACTCTTGGTGCTGGGCCCTAATCTCTACTGTGTATCTTTGCCATCTTCTCTGATCATCTATCTCAAAACATCTCTGAGTAAGTGGTGATTCCCAGGACCACCTGATGATTTGCGAGATGACATTTGGGCATCTCAGCCCAAGAAGAAGGCAAGGCAAGAAAAGGCTGAAACCAGCATCCAGTTATTGAGAAATAACTGTTTCTGTCAGTCATAACCCCTGTTATGAGGCACCTTTGCTAGTGTCTTACCTGAAGGGACGGTACTGTTTTCATATACCGCTTTCATAAAGTTATGAACAATGAGTGAATGTACTGGGAAATCATCTGTATTCCATTAAAATGTTTAATTAATATTAACATATGACCAAGGTTACCATCCCTCCTGCTTTCAGCAGCCATCTTTGAACTCAGCCCTTGGAACAAGTCTGTGTTAACAGCACAGATATACTGTACATTTTTTTACACCAGCAAGCTCAGTGTTGAGATTTTAGCAGAGAAGCTAACTATTTTCCCTCTCCCCCCTCCAACTACTAGCTTCTTCCCATCTCATAAGTAGAGGTGAGAGGGCTCCCAATAACTAATCTAAGGCTGATGACAGCAGGCCACTTCCTGTCCCACTTTTGTTTTCTTTGTATTTTATTGTATCTTTGGCATCTCTCTTTTGATAAACTATGACACAGTGTTGTTGTTGTTATTTTTTATTTATTTTATTTTTTATTTTCATTTTCATTTTTTTGTTTTTTGTTGTTTTTTAGGCAATGGGGCTAAGTGACTTGCCCAGGGTCACAGAGCTAGTAAGTGTTATGTGTCTGAGGCCGGATTTGAATTCAGGTCCTCCTGAATCCAGGGCTGGTGCTCTATCCACTGTGCCACCGAGCTGCCCTGTTGTTGTTTTTTTTTAACCAAGAATATAAAACACTTTAAAAAATGAAAAACAGCAAAACAGCTCAAAGAGGAGAGCTGAATTAGAAGGCTATCTAGAAAGGTGAAGAGCAGAAGAACTCATTGTAAAGAACACTGGCTCCAGAGGTGGGACCTAGGCCAGACCCCACACCCAATACCCCAGGCAGGTTGCCCAACCTCTCTAGGCTCTGCCACCTTAACTCCAGTCCCAGATCCACAATTCAATGTGAGGACAAAAGAAAGACTAACCAGAAGCTGGCACAGTTGATGATGGGGTACCCAGAACAGTCTGTGGTTTAATGATGATGGTGCTTCTAGATTTCCCCTTTTCTTTCCCTCAACCCTCTATAACCTGGTTTGGCTCAGTCTCCCCAGTCCCAAGGAGGATGCAGAAGGAGAAGTGAACCACATCTAGGAATAGGAAAGGGAGCCCAGAGAATGTCAGGACTGGAGACATTTGGAGGCTCACCAATTCCAAGACCCTTCTCAGACACAAAAAGTGTCATTAAATGATTTGCTCAAGGTTACATAACAATGTTAATGGCAGAGTTAGAGCTTGAGAGGCCATGTGGTACTATGGAGTCAATGCTGGCTGTGGAGTTGAATCCCAGCTCTGCCACTTACTAGCTATGTGTCCTCGAGCAATTCACTGAACTGTTCTGGGCTGGTTTCCCCATCTGTAAAACTGGACACTATGCACCTTCCATCTCTAAATCTATGATCCTGTACACTAGAAACTAGGTTTCCTCATGCTTGGTCCCATGCTCTTTCCACTGTATTGCGCATGGTGAGGGAGGGCACACATTTTATATAATGCTTAGCATAATGTTGGCATGAAGTAAATATTGGACAACCCCTAAAAAGAATATAGGACACAAGAGGACCTGAAAGGGAGATTGTTGCTGTTACTGTCGGGAAGGGACATGCATTAACAGAATGCTCACAGGGGCTGATGTGCCAGAGCATCCTGCAGCCCTGGTGTGATCTTACTCACTAAGCTGGTGCTTAGAAAGAGGCCTGGCTAGCAGAGATGGGCCAATGCTTCCCCCATGAAGGGAAGCTTAACTGGACACAACCTACAGATTCTCCAGGTTCTTAATCTTTCTTCTGGATTATGGACTCCCTCTGGCTGTTGAAGCCTATGAACCCCTTCTCAGAATAATTTAAAAATACATAGGATTACCAAAAAAAAATCCCAATTATACTGAAACATAAAAATCAAAATATTAAAAAAGAAAGAAGTTCACAAACTCCTGGTTAAGAACCCCTTCTCTAGCCTGGATCTTCTAATAAAAGGGGTATGTAGGCCAAAAGCAGAAATGAAAAGGGTCAGCAGTTTCTGTCTGAGTGAACAGGTACAGCCCTACTGGAAGCTGCAAAGAAAGAAGGAAAGTATTTGACAGGACACAGGAAGACTCACATCTGTGGCTTTCATTTTGCGAGTTTCCTGTCGGTCCTTCAGCATCTTTTGTATCACACCAGTCCGGGTCCAGATGTCAAACACAGTCCGTCCATGATGGTAACCCACCTCCTGATGGGAAGCAGGTGATGTTCACCAAAGCATGCACAGAAGGTCAATGGTCCCTGACCTCAGGGATCAAATCAGCCCTGTCATCCCATTCTGAACCCAGGGATCATTCACAGGGTCATATTGGCCCTGATATTCACACTACACCCTACAAAAAGGTTTGCTCACAAGGCCATAGCAGCCCCGGGATCATTTACAGGGACACATCAGCATTGGTAATCCCACCTCCCCATTCACAGGGACTCATACATCCTAATATTCTACTCTCTGGAGTCACAGGATATGCTGGCCCTCCTTTCCACTTAAAGGTCATTCACAAGGACATTGGCCACCAGTCCTGAGCATGTAAAATTGGACTACCAAGGCGAAGTAAATTTGGGTTCAACAATGAGAGACCCCAGAAGTGGAAGGATGGCAGCATAATTATTATAAAATGGGAAAATTCCATGGCTTTTTTGGAACAGGATCTAACCAGGGCTTATCTTTAGGAAAATAGCTGCTTTCTATCTTGGACATGGGGGCTTTCATCTTCTTACTGCTGAACTGGAAGGCAAACACAAAGCTCTCCTTTGGACATTTCTGGTGAGAAGGACTAAGGACAGGGGTCTTTCCTCCAGAACTGGAGATCCAAGAAGTGAGGGGACAATCTAATGCCAGCATTCTTACCACCACCTCTAATGTTTCCCAACATCCCCCAAACCAGTCTGACACTCACACAGATTTCATCAAATCTGCCAAAGTCCAGGGTACCATAGCGGTCAATGGGTGGTCGGATATATTCACAATAATCACTGCTCTTCACCATCTCCAGCTGCCTGACACAGCACACATAGGCCAACCGTGTCTGGATCTCTGCCATGTTCAGCACCTATGTCACAGGGTTATTACAGGAGGCAGGATGGGACAAGGCAAGTGATGAATTCTAGGGATTGGTTAATGGTACTTGCAGCAGGTTCTGCTCTATATCTCCCTTTTTTATTTATGTACTTTGAACCCCCCTAGACCAAAACCTCTTCATTTATCATCATTTGGTTCTTTCAGTCCTAGTCCAGTAAACACCTTGGCTTGTTCCCAGTCTCCTGACACCACTGGGTCTTTCAACTAGAAAAATTTTCCCCTTGGAAGGGTATCAATGCTATAGTGGAAAAAGCCCTGGGCTGGGAGTCAAAAATAGATGTGAGATGTCAAGGACCTATAGCAGTGGGCAGGAGTTTGGGGTTCTGTAGCTTCAGCTATAGCTGGAGGGTAAAACATTTAGCTAGAGGGTGAAGCATTTATTCAGTTCCTGAAAGGCTGGGAAAAGTCCATTTGGCCCACCTTGGGCATGAAGCTGGGGAGAGAAAAGGACCTTGAGTGAGCTGTACATGTTATTCATTCTCCTCTTCAGGCCTAGCCCCTGGCACTGCCTTACATTCCCTGCTCCCATGCACGGCATTTCTGATTCCCTCCCTTGAGGCCCAGGCACTGCAACCTTCACTTCTGTAGCCAGGGGATTCCAGCGTTTCCACAGCAGCCACCAGCCAGACAGCGAGTCACCATAGTTGGTGAGGTCCCTTTCGTCCTTGCTGCCCACGTCAATGGCAATCACCACTTTGGCGCCCATAGATCTGGCCATGTCAGCTGGTAGGGAGAAAGCCCAGTAATTCCCATGGTAATGGATTCAGTTCAATTAAAAATAAAAACAACATTTATTAAGCTCCTCTAGAGACACAAAGAAAAAAATGAAAGTCTCTTCCCTTAAAGAGCTTATATTCTATTGGGGGAAATAAAACATATGTAGAAAATGAAATACAAAAAGATTTCCAGCCCAGCAATAGTACTTCTAGGGCTGTATCCCAGAGAGATCATACAAATGGGAAAAGGACCCATACGTACAAAAATATTTATAGCAGCTCTTTTTGTGGTGGCAAAGAATTGGAAATTGAGAGGATGCCCATCAATTGGGGAATGGCTGAACAAGCTGCGGTATATGAATGCAATGGAATACTATTGTGCTATAAGAAATGATGAACAGGCTGACTTGAGAAACACCTGGAAAGACTTGTATGGTCTGATGCTGAGTGAAGTGAGCAGAACCAGGAAAATGTTGTACACAGTAACAGCCATGTTGCGTGATGACTAATATTGATAGACTTAACCCTTCTCAGCAATACAAGCATCTAAGACATCTCCAAAGGCCTCATGATGGAAAATGTTATCCACAAAAAAGAAAGAACTATAGAGTTTGAATGCAGATTGAAGCATACTATTTGCTATTTTTTTCTTCTGTTGTATTTTGTTTCCTCTTTCTGGTGGTTCCTCCTATTGACTCTAATTCTTACTTACAACATCACTAATGTGAAAATGTGTTTAATAGGAATGTATATATATAGCCTGTATCACATTGTATGCTGTCTTTGGAAGGAAGAGAGAGAGGGAGAAAAATCTGAAGCTCAAAAGCTTATGGAAGTGATAGTTGATAATTCAAAATAAATTAATTTAAAAAAAAGATTTCCGGGATGAAGTGGGACAATAACAACTTTCAGCTAGAAGTGGGAAGTGAGATCAAGACAGGCATCCTATAAAAGGCTGGCATTTGAGCTAAGCTTTGAAGAAAGCGAGAGATTCTGCTGGAAGAAGTGACAAGGGAATACATTCCAGTCACGGGGGCAGCCTATGTCAAGGCTGAGAGATGCAACAACCTGGCTGGGGAACAGCAACCTCTCTAGTTCGGTTGGAATACATAGTACATGAAGGAAAGTAATGTACAAGAGACCTGGAAAGGTGGGTGAGAGCCAGATTGTGAAGGACTTTAAAAGCCAGAGTCTTTATTTTGTCCTAGAGGTAAGAGGAAGCCACTGGTGCTCCTTGGGCAAGGGACTAACATGGTTGGATCTGTACTGTAGGAAGATGACTTTGGCAGCTGTGAGGACTGGAAAAGGAAGAGTCTGGAGACAGGGAGACCAACTGAGAGACTGTAGTAATAGTCAAGTTGATAAGTGATGAGGTCCTGAGGTAGGTTGGTGACTGCGTGAGTGGAAAGAAAGGGATACATTGTGCAGATAGAACTGACAAATCTTGGCAACTGACTAGGTGGGAGGGGACAGGAACAGTAAAGAATTGATGACCCTGAAGATGCCAACCTGAGTGACCAGAAGGATGTAGTGCTGCCAACAGAAACAAGTTAGGAAGAAGGGAGAATATGGAAAAAAGAGAATGAATTCTATTTTGGACATGCCAACTTTGAAATGACTACAGACAACCAGCTGAAGATATCCAACAAGGAGCTGATGATGCAGGCCTGAAGTTCAGGAAAGGGACTGGGTCTGTATACACATGTCTGGAGTTGTCTGCACAGAGCTAATAGTTGAATCCAAGGATTTAACAAGATTAACCAAGACAGAGAGGGAGGAGAGCCCAGGATGGAGCCTAGGATACACTCACAAAAAGGACATGCGACAAGGATAATGATCTTGTAAAAAAAAAATACCAAAAAGGACAAGCCAGACAGGAAGGAAGAAAACCAGGAGAAAGCAGTGTCATGAAAATCCAAGGAGCAAGAGGCGATCAACTGTATCAAATGCTGCAGAGAAGTCAAGAAGGGTAAGGACTGAGAAAAGGCCATGAATTTGGCAATTAACCCTGGAAAGTAGTGTCAGTGGAGTGATGAGGTTGGAAGTCAGATTGCAGGGAGTTGAGAAGTGAATGTGAGATAAGAAAATAGATAGATGGCTCACAAAGGCACATCTGTCCTTGGCTGGTGCCCTGAGACATCGGAGCCCACACTGACCAACTAACCTCAAACACCCATCAGTCATTAGTGCTGTGCCTTACATTGCTATCAAGCTTGAGTTTCAAAGCATTCATTCACAGGTTTCACTGAATTTAAGTACTTCACTATTCCCCCATGGTGAAATGGGCAAACTGAACTGTGGGACATGATGTGTGACTCATCACCAGCAGAGCTAGAAGAAGATGCTAGGCCTTCTGAGTCCTGGTCCAGGGTTCCTTCCACCATATAATGCCACCTCCTCAACAAGTATATGGGGAGTACTCTAGGGAGCATCAGCTCTACCAACCATATTGGCTAGAAATTAATCCTATGAGGCGTTTTCTTCCCCAGGCCCCAAAGGAACACAGTATTATTTACTGTAATACTTTCTACAGGACCTAATGAGACCATTTTGACTTGCTGAGTGTCCCTCACTATTGGGTCCCCTGAAATTTCAGAACCATCTTTGGGTGTGATTTTTGCCTCTGAGTGTGTTAGCCTGCTTCAGGCTTGGAAAGGTCCAGCTGGCTTAGGATGTTCTTCCGAAGAGGACTTCAAAAGGTTAAAGATTTTGCCTGGACTTGCCTCTAGGAGCCTTGTCTCAAACAGGGCTTTAATCCCTGATTTGGCGCAGAAATGGGTTAATCTCTCCCTAGCACTTAAAATTGGCCTATTTCTATGCTTGGCCCTTGTTCTGATAGTTAAGCTAATAAAAACATAGCCATATGTTCAGTAGTGCGGGTGTGTATGAGTGTCTGTGTTTCCTTTCCTTGCTCCATGAGGACTCATTCCAGTAAATTAGTTTAAAATGTTTTTTTCTTGGCCCATTCTAAAGAAAACGTGCCACCACCCCAGCCTTTTTCTAGAAGCAGGTGGCAAAGGAGCCAATTTTATGTGAGTGAGGAAATGCACCTCTAGACCAAAAGTACACTGGCTCACAGCAGTGACTGGCTCCAATCAACCAGCCTGGCTCAAGAGTTCTCCCCTTTGTACGCTAGCACAATCGTACCTGGGAGGTTATTGATATAGCCACCATCCATCAGTAGGTGTCCATCTTTGGGGTCACACAGCGGGGGCATGTAACCAGACAGAGACATACTGGCTCGGACATACCTCCACAGGCAGCCTGCAGAAATGAGAAAACAGAAGAGTAAATGGATTTATAGTTCTACCCAAAGGGAAAGGTGGGATGCCTGAGAAACTGGCAGATGATTTTAGGAAACTCAAGGAGGACAAGACAACCTCATGAGGATGGAGAGTGAGGGCTTGAGAGAGAGCACCATATGCCTCTGGGTGCTGGACCATGCAGCCTGATCAGGCAGGGTCCAAGTCTTTCTTGCCACTACTGATTTATGTTGCCCATGAAATGAGTGACTCCTTCAATGCTAGAACTTTCAATCTAAGGGCAGGGAGAATTCACTTTATGGTTGTGGTAGTTAGGGAAGTTCTCCACTTAGCCCTGAGGTCAGGTCACCCTGGCTTGGAAGGAGGAGGTGTTTCTCACCCAGAGCCATGGGTAAGCACTAATTTTAGGAGAGAAGCACTAAATAACAAAAGCAGCAGCAGCAATTGCCATTTAAATAAAGGTTTACCATTTACAAAAAGCTCTACAATTATTTTCCAAGCCTTTATTCCTCACCAAAGACTCAGGCAAAGGGTATATGCGATCTTGGGCAGCTTTGAAAGGGCTTGCTTGATCCTGGAGATAACCATGCCCTCCCAGAAAGGTCTATGGGCACTTTTCCAGGATAAAGCTACATGTCTGTCTCCCTCCTGGGGGTCTGGCAGTGGTAGTATCCATTTTTCTCACTATGTCAAAATTCTTCCTCCTATTATGACTAGTGCAAGTGGTGGTCAGAAAAGACTCTCATATAGTTATGCAGAGTGGGCCAGTTTGGGAAAGATTAGTGGAGTACACCCCAGTCTAGTTGCCCCAGCATTTGGGCATAAACTCTCTCCACAGCTCTTTGCTCTCCCCTTCAGTCTAAGCATTCTGAGCATGTATTTCTATCCATCTCCCCTCTGATGTTCTGCTCCTGGTCTCTGATTCCTTCCTCTCTCTTGGCTTTCCTTGTCTGACAGTCACATTCATCCCTCCGTCCTTTTTCTTTGGTTCCACAGATGGTCCTAGGTCTAGGAGGACCTAGTAGATACAGTTTAACATTTGTGGCAAGAAAGGTCAATGAAGTGAGGGGATTTCTCAGTGGGGCTTCTTCTGTGAAGTGGCTACTTACCATCTGTGTGGACCCTCATTGTAGAGGCGGTGATATCTGTTGTGATAGCAAAATAGGGTATCCAGAGATCCTAGACATAACAATAGGAGATACAGCTTAGTTGTGTCCCTCTAGGTTAAGATATACCTTCCTAATGATGCTGAGAGAAAACCCTTACTATAGGGAGTGGTTGAAGGAGGGAAGGAACAGACTGTCTTCTTTTCTGCACATTTGGTATCTATATATCTGTATCTAGACATACAGATATAGATAAATCAGCAGCTTGCTGGACATTAGGAGACCCTCCAGTCTCACCTGGTTTTCCCTGATTACTAAAACAAGGCTAAAATCCCAAGTCCCCCCAAGACTGAAGAAACAGGCATTTGTCCTCCCATCTACAAGAGACAGATTCTTTCCTATGCAAGTACCCTATTCCTGACCCACCATCAGTAGGCCATGTGTTCTGAGTTTTCCCAGCAGTTAGAATGAAACACCGCTCTCTTCCTTCCCCTTTCCCCGACATCTTCATCCTATTATCTTCTTCTGCGATTAGTATCTGTGAGAAGGCTGGCTAGGCTGAGACACTAGATTGTGGCCATGGAACAAAGTGAAGAGAATCACTCATATGGCTACAGAATCTCTGGCCTCAGTTACATTAGCATCATGCTCTCAACACTGGCATAACTGTCCACCGATAGCATCATCCTCCCTCTCTAAGTTCCTCAAATGGCAGCACAGATGTATATGAGGAGTGGTTATTTCATAGCTTTGCCTCTAGGCTTTTAGGCCTGGGACAACTGTCTAACACTGTTCTGAAAGCAACCCAGTCTAGCCCAAACCCCTAAAGCCTCTAGGTTTGGAAATCATGGTGAGTCAAAAACCAATTCTAAAACTTAACTGGCCACTCCCCTTAAATCCTGGTCTCTCTCCTCCCATGATACTTGCTGAGCCCACAGATTGCAGAAGCATACATGCTCCACATGATCTTAAGACTCTAGCTCCATAGCAGTCACTACCTGGCTCTGTTACTCCTAGGCAGTTGACTCTGTCCTGCTGGGTCTCAGATTTACCCTTTGTATAATGAGGAGAGTGATATCTACTAAAGATTAAACATACATCCATTTTGGCAAGGTAAGGTTTGGCATGAAGTGTTTCACACTGGATATAAAGTAAGTAAAACAATCATCTAAAGTTCCCAAGGGACTTTCTCTTTGGCTAAACAAGCAGGCAGCATCACAATGGCTATACCAGCTTCTCTAGGCTAAAGGCCACAGGGAGATGAGACCAACATGTGCTCTGCAGACCTGGGGGATGGCTACATGCCATACTAAGCTGTGTGGACTTTCTGTGCTCCAGCTGTGGGCCCCGAAGGTGGAAGGTCCTGTCAATTAGGCTCCCTCTACTACCATCCAACACAACCAGGCTTCCCTTTCGAGAGACCAAACCTCAATCTGTTTGTCTCTGAAGACTTTTCTGATGCCATTATTGAAAGCTGCTCCAGAGAACATGGAAGTGATTGGGTAAGTCAGGTCGAGTACTGTCTTCATCACTGAAGTCATATCCTGGGAGAAGAGGGAGGAAATCAGTAACAGACCAAGGCCTACTCTTGCTCACTTAATTTTGTTCTCACTACAAACACAGACATGATGAAGAAGAACAGGTTCAGTTTACTACTGTGAAGACTGAGGTAGAGCAGGGGAAATACAAAGCAATAGCAATGGGAAATATACCCAGGGATGACACTCATATCCCTTAGATATTCCAGTAATAGACACATACTCTTGCCTTAGCACAATAGAGATGGGAGGCAAAGACAGTGTTTAAGATTCCTAAGATTTGGGAAGAAAAGATCTTATTTGGGGGGAGGGCAGGTTATCTCAAACACAGGGACCAGCCTATGAAAAAGCAAAGAGACAAGAGATAAAATGTTGTGTTTGTGGGACAGCATGTAAGCCAGTTTGACTGGATTATAGAATGCATTAAAGGGAGAAACACGTAACAATCCTGGAAAGGTAGATATGGGCCAGATTGTGAAAATCTTTGCTAAACAGAGTAGTTGGTATTTTATCACAGAGGCAATAAGGAGTTATCCTGAACAGGGGAGTGACATGGTCAGTCTTGTGCTTTAGGAGTATCACTTTGGCAACTGTGTGAAGGAAGACCTGGAGAAGGGAAGGACTGGAGGCAGGGAGGACAGTTAATAAGCAACTGCATAGACTGGGATCCGGTGAGGTAGTGAGAGCCCAAACTACAGTGATGGGTGGGCAAATGAAAAGAAAGGGACTGATGTGAGAGATGCTTTAGGGGAAAAATCATCAAGAGATGGCAACAAATGGGATACAAGGATTGTGGAAGAGGGAAGAAAGGACGATGAATTTGAAGTTGGGAAATTAGGTGACTGAAAGAATGTTGGTGCCCTCAACTGAAACAAGGAATTTAGGAAACTGGTGGATTAGAGGGGACAGACAACAAGCTCTGTTTTGAACATGGTACATATGTGCATCTTGCATATGGTAGATGCTTGATAATTATGAAAAGCTGGTGATCATAACTTTACTTCCATCTTGGCATCTTTCCCTTGGTTTCTTAAGATGCTCGATGCTGAGAGTTATGGCCTTGCACTTCCGTGCCATTCAATTCAATCCAAAACATACTGATTAAGTGCCTACTAAATGTAGAGTACTAAGCAGCAATACGAGCTGGTCCTATGTTGCCATAAGAGGCAAGGAAGCCTGGAGGCTAGTGCTGAGAATCAGGAATGCTCTAGAGTCTCCCTCATTATGGAAGCCCAGGTACCTGCTCACTTACCCCCCACAACTCTAAGCTAGAACTTCAATGACTCAATGCTGTTTCACAAGCTAACAACTCGTTGGTTTGAAAACGTCAATCATGATTATTCTAGAACCATTGCCCACTAATCACTACTACCTACCTCAGTGATCACTGCTGTAGCCTAAGATTATCGGGCTATCTAGTATCTGGACTGGAAGGGACCTTAGGGGCTATAAAGTCTAACCCTCTTGTTTCCTCTTGATGAGGAAACTGAGGCTTGGAGAGATTAAGTGACTTAGGGTAATACAGTAGTAAGTATCTAAGGCAGAATATGAACTCAGGTCTTCCTTAATAGAGGTCCAGAACTCTATCTACAAACTTCCTAACCGGCTTCACCTAGAAACAATCTCATTCTTAATGATCACCTTCTTAAGACTGACCCCAAACTTCTAATCTCATCTACTTTGTTTCACAAAGAAAATTCAGCCTCTACAATTATAATACCTATATTATGAAAATTTAGAAATTATTCTTCTCAGGCAGGAAAGACAAAATTTATTTTTTTTACTCTTAAGTACATCAGGTGAACTGAAGAGTAAACTAATATAGCAAACAAAAAAAGTAAAGTTTCTCTTCCCATCTGCAAGTCCACTTTATAGGCCTATAAGAATAAAATCATATTTGGCCTCTCACTTTAGCTTCATGGGATCAGCTGGAATAGGAACAGGCTATTTCCTGCCATTTCCAGATCATTAAGGCCCTGACATCCAGCAAACACAGCAGGGTGCCCCTGAAGTAAGCCTGAGTGACCAGGCTCCTCCATCCTGGGGCCAAGGAAATAAGGCTGCTCTTCCTTCAGAAGAGAGATCCCAATGATACTAAAACAGGTGAGGAGGGGTTGGGTTCATTCATTTTGTTCATAATTATTCACAATGGCATTATCTTCACTTTGCAAACAAATTCATAGCATACAATGAATCACAAATTTAGAGCTGGAAGGAACCTTAACGGTTATGGATTCCGATCCCATCATTTTACAGATGAGGAAACTGGAACTCAAAGAGGTTAAATCACTTGCCCAAGGCCAAGTGTCTGAGGCAGAATTCAAATTCAGGTGCTCATGACTCTAAGCCCAGTGTTCTGTGTGAACTATTCAATATGGCTCAGAAATTTTGATGGAATTGGGAAAAGGACCCAGGCATCCTAATTTCCAGGTTAGCTGCTGCCATAAAAGTTAGTTTTCTACTAACAGAGAATGGAAGCACCTGCTTACATCTGTGGCTGTAAGCCCAAAAGCTTCTGATGCCCATTCAGTTCTCATTTCCTGCCCTGGAAAGGCTCTGGCCTTGAGGATTCCTTGAGGGAGAGAGACAGAGTAACAGTCCAAGATTCCTGGGTTACCCCCTAGGACTGGCAAAAAGCAGCCAACACCAGTAATAACAGCAGTGTGATCTATGAGCTAGACCAAATGCTTCCTCGTTCCCTAGAGGCAGCTTATTCAGTAATTGATAAGCCTCAAGAATGCAGAAATGAGCCAACATTTAGCTCAAGATATCTATCTGACCTTTGCCAAACACTAGTACACACTAGAGATGGGGAACAAATGGCCTTACTGTCTCATTAGTGATATCCGTATCACTATCATTTTATGCCCAGCCATACTTCAAAGGCTCTAAAATAGGATACAAAGGTAAAACTAAAATCTCCAGAAGAAAGGAAGAGGAAATAATAAATGACAGAATAGTTGGAAGAGGAGAAAGCAGAAAGTCGGGGGAGAGAGGAAAGCAAATGCAGGTGAGAAGAAGCATCACTCTGTTCACTTAGGCTCTGGAGCCTGCACCCTGTGTCCCTGGTGCCTCTGGCCTTAGACATGAAGCTATGTGAGCACACGTGGTGCTGTGTGCCAGCCTCATCTGACAGAACCTCCAGGTCTTCACTGCATGGCAGGACGGTCACACAAGGGGTCATCCACTGCTGCTTTTCATCTGCCTGCCAGAGTCCGTGTTCTTTTCGGCTTGTGTTGCTCTGTAGCTGTAGCTGGCTTTGTGCAGATAAAAGCTTGATGTATCAGAGAAAAATAAACAGTACAGGATGCAAAAAGATTTCTAGTGTTGTTTCCCAGTTCCTGTTCAGTAACACTAGGATGACAGCACAGTCCCAGGAGCAAGAGTGTAGGAATCTATTCTCAGAGGGTCCTTCAACCCAAAAGGCAGCTCCTCTCTCACAGGAATAGTTTCCGTCTCAGAGCATGGAGTGACTCATAAACCAACTCATTTATGCAATCAGAGGCCCTGGGAGACTTTTCCGTCTTAATTCAGGGGTTCTTAAGCTCAAAGTGAACACAGAAGTAGATGTCCTAGATACACAGCCAATCTCTGTGCATTTCTAAGAGTCCTAAAATCCAGTGGTGCCTAATGATGGGGAAAATTTGGGATAATCCTGGTGTCTTCAATAATTTTACCCTCTCAACAGCACAAATTTTGATGAACTTTGGTTCCCTGGGTTTCAGTAGAAGTGGAAAAGCCAAGGTAACAGAACGGAGCACACACCTTCATCTCCTTCTTCCTTGTAAATAAGGCCAGAATGGTGGCTAATGAACTTTCCTTTCCATGCTCTGATGCCCCTGAATGACACCACTGAACAAGTACTTTGTATGTTCTCAATAAGTGGTAATTCAGTCCAGTAGCCATCCCATCTACGCAGCTCAGAGTTTCATGTGGGATCACAGAGGTGCCACTAATATAGCAATTAACAATATTTACTCACATATCTCCCTCCTCTCCCAAAATGGACACATACTCACATTTGGGAGCAAACATTTTAATTTTAATTCTGGCAGGAGATATTGTGCCAGTAACTGTGTGCTATAAGTATGAAAATACTTGCCCCCTAAAAACAGATGGGGATTCCCAGCTGAACAGGTCTTCTCAGAGCAAGGCATGAACAATACTGCTTGTAAACCAGTAAGGCTTTTCCAGATGTGAGTGAGTACAAGGTCACTGGAGACTTGTTCTCTCTATTGAGGAATCACAGGAGTCTGAGCCAAGAGTTTGGTGGCTTAAAGGAGGAAAAGTAAAAGGAAGCACAGGAATATAAGCAAGGGGACAAGAGAGGAAAGAGCTTCCTCATGGTTGCGTTAAAGGTGAAGAATGTAAACAAGAAAAAAAAAGATATATTTCTTTCTCAGAATTAGGGAAGAAGAAAAACACAATGGGGAAAATTATGCAAATAAATACCATATTAATAGTGGAATAAGTACCTATCACCATTAGAACACTTACTGGAAATATAGATTAAGTGATCTCTCCTTTTCTTCCTCTGAAATCTCACAGCACTTATCACACTGTTTCCTTGTCCTGTAATTAATATCTCCAAAACATGGTAAGCTCCTTGAGAGCAAGGCTGTCTGTCTATGCCCTGTCTACCTCAGTGGACATCTCCATTTCTTCAGTGCTGCGTTTAGAGTCTTGCACACATTAGGAGAGGCATTGAGGAAGGAGAGGAGGAGGGAAGCAAGCATGGAATTATTAGGCAATGTGGCTGTCTGAATTAACCAAAGCAGCTAATTTTGTAACCAGTCAGTCTGGAGGAAAAGAGTGATAAAGTATCAAGTCCCTGTGTTGAGACCACTTCTTTATATGACTTCATGTTTGGATATGTTCACATGGCTGCAAGAACTAAGCAGTAGGAAACTTTCTGAACTGAGACTAAGATAATTAAGATGGTAGGTTTATGGATATTTAAACAGCAGGGATATGCCTATTCTGACAACCACTACTCCTTGGATGATAAGATTCCTCATAACTTTATTTTGTTAGATCTCTCTTCTCTCAATAGAGAGGTGGGGGACCACGATATGGTATTTTGCATACAATGGCAGACATAACTATTGTGTCAATTTTGCTTAGCTGTTTTTCTTTCTTACAAGGAAAATTTTTATGGGAGGGAGGTATATCAGGAAAGATTGGCATTAAAAAAAAAACCCAAAAGGCATTAACAAAACTGGAAAAAAAAACCCTTATGTTGTCATCCCCAATGTATCTCCCCAAACAGTGACACTGGCAAAAGAAACTCAGAAAGGAAACTTCTATTACTTGCCCCCTCCCCTCTATTCTGGTCTGGCAGCTAGGGTCTCCCCAAACCAATAAATGTAGGACAGGAGGCAGGTAATACATTTCACAGCACAGTGAAGCATACCACCATGGCCTGTGAACCTTATCACTTCAGGAAAGGCTTCAGGAGTGAGGGCTACACAGCAAATGAAGAACTTGGAGTGCATGAGATGCTCTGTATTTCCAAGAAAACTTTGCATAGGCCCAGACCATGATCAGTAGCTTCATAACAGTGTGTGGACAATTTTGCTGAGGATAGAAGATTAGGCTTAAGAAGCATAAACGCTTTTTTAGGGCCCTGGGAACAAGAACTAGCCTCAAGTTTTGAGTTGCCTGTGACACTCCTCTTGAGGTTGGATCTGTGGGCTTCCATTTAGAGCTCCGGCATCTCCAGGTCTTTACTGAATAGCAGAGATGGCACACAAAGTGTGTGTGTGGGGGTAATCCACTGATGAGTTACAAAAGTTGTACCTCACAAAATCACCCCAGCTCAGACTCCAGCTTGTGAAAGAAAAGGAGATAGAGACAGGAACTGGGGTCAGAGAATCTGCTAGGATTTAGGAAGACAAACTGGGCCAGAAAAAGAGCTTAATAGCAGAAGAAAAGTAGGATTTTGTTAGGACCAACACATTCATACCACTGCCTCTCAAACCCTCAACAAAAAGGCTTTTTGGGCTTTGGCCAGAACCTCTCAACTGCTAGCTAAAGATCGTTACTGTGCTTAAGAGGACAAGCATTTAAGAATACCTTGAAGAACCAAACTGTACCATTTGATACAGTGCATTTTTTTTCTTTCATCCATAATGGCAGACATAACTATTGTGTCAAAAAAAAGGCAAAAAAAAAAATTAGAGATACGAGAATAAATTTTTTTTTGTATAAATTGACACTTCTAGTCCTTTTAGAGTTAAGCCTCTTTCAGGAATATAGAATAGGGGAGAGGATAGGCTATTCTAAATGTGAGTTTTCCAGTCTCTTTAGTACTTCCCAGACTCTTACATACAAGCCCTATGAATTCATCATGCTGGCTCCCTGCTCCAAGTGAGTAGGTCCACATATAGTATTTCCATTTTCAGCCCTGGCCTAGCATAAGAATATCTATGACAGGGCTAGACTTTTGTATATTTTCAGTGGCCACTGACCCAAAAGAAAAATTGAAGATCATGTATAAAAAAGCAACTTCATTTAGGCTTTTTCTTTTCTCAGAGAACCATAAAACTTTCTATTCATTTGCTTTTAAAAAATAAGAACAGATAATGTAAAGCTTTATTTAGTAACTATCCTAAATACTAAAAAATCTATTTCAGTAGCACATTTTGGTCAGTTAAAGAGGTGAGAAGAAAAGGAAAGAGAATAAAAGGGGGTAATGGAGAGCTACAAAAAAAAGGGAAGAAGAGAAGGACAGAGGGAGAAAATAGTTCAAAATAGTGGGAAAAAGGAAAGGTAAAATGAAAGAAACACAGCTAGAGAAAGACACATATTCATGCAAAGAAGGTAAGAAATAAATGTAGGAATGGACAAAGAAAGAATTGAAAAAGAGACATACAAGGAGAAAAGCTCAGTAGATTTGGAGATTGCTAGTCAGACCATATCCTATTGTTTACTTGTATTGTGGGCTTTATCACTAAAAGGGTCATCACTCATTCTGTTTGAAATTATGTATGGTGGATAATCTACTCTTCATAACTATTCAACTGCTTTAATCTTAGCATTCAGGGGCTCTCCTCTGAATGGGATAATCAGTGCAGCTTTCCAAGAGAAAACTTGCCCCAAAAGATCAGCAGAAATACCAAACTATAATCCCAACAGGAGGCTGGTGGGAGCAAGCCAAAGGTGGCTTTGCTGAAGACCATGCCTGTCAACTCCACCCACCATGTGCAGCAGGAAAGAAATACTATCTGACTTGATTGCCTCAATTTGTTGGAACATGAAGAAAGATTTTATTCTTGTCTTCCTTTGAAACAAGAACAGACACTTTTGATCCAACTCAGAGTTTCAATCAAAGTTCTGTTTTGTTCTACAAAAACAACTGCTGTATCTTTTTTAAATGGAGACAAGAGATAAGAAAACAGATGAATTCCTTCTCTGCCACTGTCAATTCTAAGTTCCCCACGTTACAATGATGGCTAGCCCAGTTTTAGTCACTTTTAAATTTTTAAAAACTTTCTTTTCACCCAGAAATAATAGTCTTTACTTGCATTTCACTTTCTGTACTAGACTACATTGTTTTTGAAGCCTGGAGAGTGAGGCCCAGGCTCATCTTCTCACTTACATTAAAGGGAAATTCTCTGCAGGAACAGCAGACTCCTAGTCAGAAACCAGACCAAACAAAAGAATGACATCACAATGATTTCATCCCTCTCATTCCCATACCCCTTCTCTTTAGGGAGTTCAAAGCCCTTTCGGACTTTATTTCACTCACTTCCATAACATCCTTGAGAGAAGACAAGGATTATGACCCTACTTCATTGTGGGATAAGCTGAGGCCCAGAAAGAGTAATGCTGATGAGGTGGTGACAGAAACAGACTAATAACCCTCCTGTCCCCTCCCACTTCAGGCCACTATGCCATCTGCCGGATTTCACTTAAGCAGCATGAAACCACCCTTCTGGGCACACTCACCAAGGCCCACTGGCGAGCCCGAATCCTTGTCTGGCTGTAGTTTCGCTCCTCAGCAAAAAGAGCCCCCATGAAGGATCCAATTGAAGTTCCTCCTGTCATATCCACAGGAATGCCTGCCTCCATCAGGGCCTGGATGATACCAACTTGGGAGCAGCCTCTATAGAGTAGCAAGATAAACAAAGTGAGGATTGAAGCTCAGCTTCCTAACCACCTTGAGAGAATAGCTTCATGTATTCGGGTGCAAAACAATCATTGCCCTGGAAAGCAAATCCTGAAAGAACTGGGAGAAAGAGTCAAAGTGGGGCTGCCCTGCCTTTGTTAGCCAGAAAGCTGCCTTCTTGGCCTGTTCGTGCCACAGCACCTAATGAAGCTTCAGAGTTACCAATCAGACATATGCATAAAGGAATAGATTTCCTTCTGCAGAAGGAAAAGAGGGAAGCCAGACCTATCAAGTGTTTGAGCTTTATGCTAAGTTGGTACAAGTGTGTGCATGTGTGTGTGTGTGTGTGTGTGTGTGTGTGTGTGTGTGTGTGTGTGTGTGTGTTGGGAGGGGGGCAGAGTAGGGGAGGAGTTCTCAAGGAAAGGATCATTCAATCTTCTCCAAGACCAGCTCCATCTACCTTCGGTTAGAGGGATACAGAGAGGGACTCCTGATAAAGCTAACTATGCCCAGAACTCGTTTACGTGGGCTTGGGGACTAGTCATATGTCTGTTACCTACAAAGCCATAGCAACCCATCTGTACTTGGCTTCCTCAATTATATATATGAGCCAGGGGCAGACCCCTACCTCTTGGCTTCTGGAGACACATGGCTCAAGGGCCAACTAGCTCACTACAGATAAAAATGCTTAGATGCTTCTGACTGATGTTCTAAACTCTGGAATGGGATATTCCCATCAATGTGCTATAGTCGCAAGCTCTGCCTACTTTCTATCTTGCTGAGGCTTGAAAGACCAATAAATACTATGCCTGCTACCCCTGTGGATTATGCCACAATCTAAAGTCTCCTAATGAAATGTCTCATGTAGCCTCAAGTCACTAGGGAAATAATGAGTAGTCATTAACAACAGAAGAGCTTGCACTCTACTGGCCCCTAAACTGTACCACTGGAAATCCTACCACAGCTAGTACCACATCTGGCACACAGTGGGCAATTATTAAATGCTTACTCCATCTGTCTGTCTATCACAGCGGCTGCCAGACATGTGATTCGATAACTGTCCCCAGGGAAGGTTCCAAAGACATTCTCTGTGCTCACCCATCCCTGGCCCAAAATGTGCATGGCTAATTCATGGGGAAGAGACATGCCTGCAGTTGTGACAAGATAAAACATCTCTTTAGTGGCCAGCAGCTCATTGTGGGATGCCTTTGGAACAGAGCTGCTAGAGAAGCTGTGTCAGTACTAATAAGCCAGACCTCAGGCTGCTCTGAAGGGCAAAGAACAAACTAACTAAGCAGGCAGAAGCAGACCTGGGAGTATCAGGAAAGGAACAGCTCACAAGATGGGGCTGGGACAGGACCAAATGTGTTCTGGTTTCCTGTAGTCAGAGATGACCTACTCCTGGTCCAAATGAGAAAAAATTTCCAAAATTCATATCACAATCACTACCCAGAAGTTATCACACAGCATGCTAAATGAATGGCATAGGATACAGATTTGAAGAGGGTGAAGCCAGATAGATCAGGTTTTCTAACAGACAGCTCTTTTGGGGCCCAGCTTTTGAAAACTCCAAAGTTTCTCCATGTCTTCATTTTAATATGGGAAGATCAGCAACTTTGATTTCCTGACCTGGAAATAGTAGCTCATTTCTAAGGAAAGAATGGCATAAATACCATTGTTTAGAAATCAGAGTCATAAAACATTACGATGTGGTTCAGGGACCTTTAGGTTCTTATCAAATAGATCACCTAGAATTTAAAATCGGGAGACTGTACAGAGAAATACAACATACAATGGGAGAAGGCTTGTACTGGGGAGGGAGGTATGCAGGATGGGAAAATTTTTCTTTTTGAGAACAATCCTGAAAGTTAACACATTTCTCTACATCCTAGTGGGTTTAAAATCTTACATCATTTCTCATTTTTTAGGTCAAAAGTTGTACAATGAAGAGATTTTTTGATCCCAAGCAGTTCTAGCTTCTTCAACCTTCCCTGCCATTGTTGAACTAGGCTTGGCACAGACATGGAGGGTAGTGGAAAGTGTGAGGTGGGGTGGGGTGGGAGTGGGGTGATATATATCAAAGCTCCAAACTACACACAACAGTGTGAACTCTGAAGGTCAGCATGGGTTGTGCCAAAGCAGGAGGTACAGAAGAAATTGTGCCTCTGGGAGAGAACAGGGTAAGTGTTGACAGCTGTCAAAAGCACATTTCACAGCTATGTTTTTAACACCAGATATAAGTAACCTTAATGAGCTTCATTTGAGCCAGGTCTGGGAGTAGCTAATATCCCCAGAGTAGAGAAAAATCTCATCTTAGCCACGGCAAAGGGCTCAAGATAAGAAATGTGTCACACCTCTAAGACATATGATAATAAAACTCCATTAACTGGCAATTCTGGGTGTGCGCTTCAGAAGCCATAAGCTGTAATTTACTGAAAAGCCAAGGTTTCAGGTGACTAATGTTGAAAGAGTCATCATAGTTAGATTCATCTTGTTCATGTGAAATTAGGCCTGATGCAGAGGAAGGAGAGGCTCTAGAAAAGCTCAGGAATACCACTAAAATGTTACCCTATTCTTATGGAGAGTAGTTAAGCATTAAGAAGTCATCAATTTTTACCTTTGAACAACATATTTGTCTGAATAAGTAGCAAAAGTCACTGAAATGTCTGGCTAGAAAAGCTCTGCTTAAATGGAAATGTCACCAGTCAAATGAGTGGTTTCCACAAACTCCATGGATAATAATCACCCTTGTAGCCTGACAGAGCTTCTATGAGAATGCTAGCTTTCAGCCTAATGTGTTCATAGAAGTATTGTCCCACAGCGGGCAGCTAGATGGCACAGTGGATAGAGCACCGGCCCTGGAGTCAGGAGGACTTGAGTTCAAATATGACCTCAGACACACGATACTCACTAGCTGTGTGACCCTGGGCAAGTCACTTAACCCCAACTGCCTCGCAAAAATAAAATAAAATAAAATAATTTGGGGCAGCTAGGTGGCGCAGTGGATAGAGTACCAGCCCTGAAGTCAGGAGGACCTGAGTTCAAATCTGACCTCAGACCAAACACTTGACACTCACTAGCTGTGTGACTCTGGGCAAGTCACTTAACCCCAACTGCCTAAAAAAATAAATTTTAAAAAATGAAAAATAAAAATTTTATATATATAAAAAAAGTACTGTCCACAGTGATGGAGGCAAAACAGCCAGGAGGGGCTGATTAAGGATCAAGTGGAACAAAGCCAAAAGGACTTCTATTACAACTGAATGTACACACACACACACACACACACACACACACACACACACACAGACACATACAGCTAGTAATCAGTGGCATCTGTTTTATGATGTAGGGGTTATTGTCGCTTGCTCCCTTGCCCTACTTTTCTTTGACACAGCTCTAGAAATGCAAGTGAAGCAATAAGACAAGATAAAGAAAAATTAAAGGCGACAGAATTATCCCTATTTGCAGGTGACATGATGGTTTACTCAGAAAATCTCAGAGAAACAATGAAGAAACTAAAAAAAGGTGATTGATAGCTTCAGTGAAGTATGACACAAAATAAATAAATAAAAATCACAAGTATTTCCATACAGTAATAACAAAAACCAGGAGAAAGTGGTAGCAGGAGAAAGCCCATTCAAAATGCTTGCAAAATGCATAAAATATCAGGAAGCCAACCTCCCAAGACATATTCAAGATTTATATAATCACAATTAGAAAAGACTTTACAGAAATAAAGGAAGACAAATAATTAGGGGGATATTCATTGTTCATGGTTGAGGTGAGCCAAGATGACAAAACTTACATTCACTTGTAGACTTAGTATGAAGATTACCAAGGAATTATTTTATAAACTAACCAAATTATAATGAAATTATTTTTGAGTAACAAAAGGAAAATAATGAAAAAAGTTAAGAATGCAAGGGGAATATACTCTTACAAACTCCAAACTTTATTACAAAGAAGTAAGCATTAAAATTACTTGGCACTGGCTAAAAAATAGAGAAGTCAATCAGCAGAGAGACTAGAATAGCAAGAAACCATTAAACACAGTAACCTTGTATTTTGATAACTCCCAAACATAAACTACAGGGGGAAAGAACAAATGGTAAAACCAGAACACAGATTAGCAGGTATACACCAGCATTTCTTTTTTTAATTTTTTTTCCATATGCTTTTGAGTTGAAAATTTTTTCTCCCTTTTTCTCCCCCCCACCCTCCCCAAGACGGCGCACAATCTGACATAGGCTTTACATTTACATACCCATTAAACATATCTTCACATTAGTGAAGTTGTAAGTAAAAATTAAAACCAATAGGAGGAACCATCAGAAAGATGAAACAAAACTCAACAGAAGGTAAAAATAAGTGAGAGCATTCGACTTCCATAGTTCTTTCTTTGGATGTGGACAGCATTTTCCATCCGAGGCCTCTGGAGATGTCTTAGATCCTTGTAATGCTGAGAAGGGTTCAGTTTAACAATCTTAGTCATTGCATAACGTGGCTGTTATTGTGTACAAAGTCCTCTTGGTTCTGCTCACTTCACTCAGCATCAGACCATATAAGTCTTCCCAGGTTTTTCTGAAGTCAGCCTGTTCATCATTTCTTATAGAACAATAGTATTCCATTACATTCATATACCACAACTTGCTCAGCCATTCCCTAATTGATGGGCATCCTCTCAATTTCCAATTCTTTGCCACCACAAAAAGAGCTGCTATGAATATTTTTGTACATGTGGGTCCTTTTCCCATTTGTTTGATCTCTTTGGGATATAGCCCTAGAAGTGCTATTGCTGGATCAAAGGGTATGCACATTTTTGTAGCCCTTTGGGCATAGTTCCAAATTGTTCTCCAAAATGGTTGGATCATTTCACAACTCCACCAACAATGTATTAGTGTTCCAATTTTCCCACATCTCTCCAACATTTATCATTTTCCTGTTTTGTCATGTTGGCCAATCTGATAGGTGTGATGTGGTACCTCAGAGTTGTT